TGTGTGTACATCCGACCGCGCGGCGGCGCGGCCATCGGCCATTGGTACCTGAACAAGTCTTGAACTTGAAGGAGAGAGAGCTCTCGAAAAAAGCAAGAGCGCAGGAAATGGCAAGACCTGGCAGATTGACGTCATCCTGAACGCCCAAGAAACTGGCGGGTCACCCTGCCTCCTCCCTGGGCACCATTGGGCCTTGAACCATTGAACGAGCTTGCTACAGGCTACAAGGCGGATTCAGAGAACAGTTGGCTCGTCATGAACCGTCTGCAGATGCAGGAATGGTTGCTGAATGAGTACCGGAAGGTTGTGGACGAGGAGCTACAGAAGCGCATTGCTTATCAGACTGCTACTGATGTCCTTGAGGTTGAGGTGGCGCTTGCATTCAAGAGCAAGGAGACGAACAAGAAACATGATCGGCTAGAGGAACTGCGTAAAGCAGAACGACAATTCAATGCCGTTAGGAAAGAGTGGAAAGAGATCTTTGATAGAAGCAGAACTTGCTGAGGAGATGCGAAGAGTTTGGCACTCCGTTCACCGAACAAACCGATGCGCCAATTGCTGCGGCAGCAGACGCAATACATCTCAAGGCTCTTTGATGTTACTGGATCAAATGCTGCTGCCTTCGTTCCAGTGAGGCTGGTTCGAAGCAAAGGTGTCTACATATCTGTATATAATACAGCAATCATTGCTGATCCGCTAATGTCTCTGAACTAGACGTTGATCTCATTGGTAGCTTCTCAAACTGCACGGAGAGTGGGCCCCAGCTAGCCTCCTCCGTTTGACCATACAATCTGCTCCTGCAAGAGTCTGATCGCTTGTAGGTGGCGTTGGGTGAGAGTACCCCAGCCAGCCGCTTTCAACGCCGGCGTTATCTACCTCGTCTGTATTACACACATGTATACATGTTCTATAGATGTCGGTACCTTTTCCTCGACTCAAATTGACAAAATCCCCTATGCTTTGAAGTACGGGCCAAAAGTCTTATAAAGGCCGACATGATGCGTATCACATGTATACTTGAATCGCTCTGATGCAGTTGTCTTGGTTTTTATTCTTTTCCGATCTGAGGTCTGGATTCAACAAAGACGAGAACACGACGTCTCATTGAAGCTCTAATTGATTCATTTGCGAGGTTGGAGCCTCGGAGGCTCGAGGGTAGGAACGTTCCTAAATAACTTTTGGGGTTAGTGCTTGAATTGCTCGTTATAATGCGTCAGCCTCAGCTGCCCGTTTGAAGGACTGACATGGTCGAGAGTTTAGGGTCGACATCACACCGCGTACGCACAATTGATTATGTAAGCCAGGAGAAGCATATGGCTCAGGTCACTGGCTCAGGCGTTCATTCTAAAAGAAGGTCATCTTCCTCGTGGCATGACCCCTTGCTTACGCACTGCATATGCATCATGCCGTTTCGATTCGTGCATCTAGAGCTAGCAACAGGCGGCAGCGCTGCATGTTGCATGTCATCGCGAGTTTACAGATTTCCGCCATTGCATTTGAGAGGCGCTTTACATTGTCCCCAATAGAGCGCGCGCATGCATGCACAGTGTTGGTGCATGCATACCTGGTCTCTGCAGCTACCCGTGAACCTCGGACATGCTGAATGACTGCACATATTGGTGTTGTTACGGGCAACAGCAACGAGCTGCATTTCTCCTTGAATTTGAAACCATAGAGGCATACAACATCACGTAAAACTCTTCAACAAGGATTCTCTCATGATGATCGAACCATATTGACACAATCATGCAATCGTGGAGACTGGCTTTTTCTCCAAAACAACTTGCACAAGGTATTAAGATGGTTGTTTTATCCAACGAGCCAGCCTCAGTCAAGAGCAATCTACAGAGCAGACAGTCTCGCTGAACGTCCCTTTACCGAGTTGTACAGCGGCCGTGCCCGCTTGAACGCCGCAATATCTTCGATTCTCACCATCTCTCCGCTTCCCCCACTCCCAGTATCCACTTCCTTCGCCGGCCCACCATTTGCAACTCCGTTCACAATATCCTTCGACACAGATGTCTCCGAAGGCGAGCCGTTAGGCACGCACCCCTCTTCTCCAGATATCTCCGCACCACTTTCTTGTGACTCCAATGACAAGCCGCCCAGTCCATTCTCGAGCGCGGAGCCGTTTGGGGGCGCGCTGAGTTTTTCCAGCGCCGCAATGTGCGGCCCGCCGAAGATTTGTACGCTCAACTTCCGCCGAGAGGGAGCGCCCGCCCGGATGAACGTTTCGTAAAAGTCCAACAGCTCTTGCCGCCGGAGACTAATGAGCGCGGCGACCTGGGGAAGACGAGTGCACCAGTTTGAGTTGCCTGTTCCTGCTGACGTCACGGCTGACGTCAGTTGTGACGGCAATCCAAAGAGATGAAGCGTGGAGACATTGCCTTTTAAGCGGTTCGCGGCATTCTTCGCCAGTGGTCCTCTGGTCGTAAGGAAACAAAATGGAGCTAACGACGTGCCCAAACAGCATCGCATACCACACCGAAAGTCCCGTTCTCACGCCTCCAACAACCGTCCCGCTACCCGTCTGAATATGCCGCTCATTGTTGACTCAAGCTTCGAACGATCGCTGGACTGTGTTCCAGGCGTCCTTGCTGACATCGAACCCTTGTCAGAACAAGCGACCGCTGTCTTGTGCCCCCCACCACCAGCGAAGGAGTCACTCGTCCAGGAGAGCGGCAAATGGCAAAATACTGAAACCCAGAACGGCGGAACCTTGCGGGAAGGCGTGAGGTAAGGCTAACCTCCGTCTTGACTCGGTCAAAGGCGAGCGACCCCTCGTCGATTTCGCGCCAGAAGAAGCTGAACTCCTCGCCCAGGTTCTTGTGCTTCTCCAGCTTCGTGGCCGCCAGTGTCTCCACGTGGACCTGCAGGCAGAAGACGTCAGTACACATTTGAATGACGTCAGTGGTCATGAAGTGGCGCACTGGGGCAACGATCCAATCTGAATGCCCTGAAAAGTGCGTATGTGAAACCACTTGCGTATACAGTTTTCTTGAGAAAGTTTTTCTCTATCTTGTAATTTCGGGAACTTACTGGCTCAGTTTGCACTGGGTTCAGTCCGCTTCATTGGAACAGTAGAACGAGACAACCCAAGTAAACCAGAACAATCAAAATCCAAACCCCGAATCCGGACTCAAATATCGTCCAACAGTTTAGGTTTTACGTTGCAGCAGGATGGAACCCCAACTTGAGAACAGCCATCATGGGGACGGGTGACGGAAGTGCAGTCCTTAGCAGTTTAGCGGATGCGGCGCACCTTGAAATCCTCTTCCGTGAGCTCCCCCAGAGTCTTGGAGAAGAGGTTCAAGAAGTTCTCGACGCGCTCGTCCAACTCGGTCGGGTTCTGCACGACACAGCGCAGAATCTTGGCAACAGCCCGAGAGAACGGACAACAGACATCAACCCAGAGACCTCACAAAACGATTTTGCCAGCTTTGGTCACGTGAATCGTACTCTCAGCTCGAAGAGAGGACATCAAGATGCACGCGTGACATAGATGGAACCGACTGCATCAGCTTGTGAATTTCGAGCAAAAATCAACTTCTTGCTCAACGTTTGCGAAGGCTTGACCAACGCATTGGAAAGAAACCGCAAGAGCAAACAAGATCTTGTTGAATGAAAGGTGCTCGTTTTAGACCTCGACGTATTGGAATCAGAGCAGACACTTAAGAGCTCGCTTCGCTTCGTCTTCAGATTCTTCTCACCTTTACGTTCGACTGGATGATGAATTGCGCCCCTCGTACAGTGAAGTCGTTCCTGCATGTAAACGAGGAGTCGCATTTGACAAACCCGAATTTTCAACGACTGGATACAACCATCCAGAAACGACCAGCTGACTACGCTTACCACAGAAGACATGCTAGATCTGAATAATTTCAATTTACCGAAGCGGCACATAAGGCACACGTTCTATATGCAAAGTGAAGTCCGTTGCCCAAGTTGGAAGACCAAAAAAGGAACGCAGTCAAAGTCAAAAAGGCAATCAGCATCCTTAGCACTAGTAAAGCGCCTGCTTGTTGTAGAAAGCAATAAACGCATCACGTGTGTATTCCGCTGACTGAGTGAGCTGGTCGGATATCTGGTGCGTTCAGAAAAGGCGGCCAAAGTCGCAATTTTTACAGCCGCCCTGCGCTTCACGTGTCGCCCCCAGTTTTCTGCGCAGCACTTGCCTTCCCATCAGGAAGACGATGTAGCCCAGCTGTTCGACGGAGCGCAGCTGGTAGAAGACGTCGCGCTTGGCGGTCTGCAGGAACAGCTCCAGCAGCACGTTCGAGCGGGACTCGTCGGGGCCGACCTGCACGCCAACATCGACGCGGTTGTGAGAACTGGTATGCATCTTCGAAATAGCCCTCGAGTATTGCATCAAAATGGTGAACTCACCAACGCAAAAACTGGACGCTAGGGAACCTTCCTCGACTTCACAACAAATCGACGATGGCTGATTCGGAAGAGAAAAAAACCAAGGGAAAGAAGAGAACGAGTTGAGACCACAGCAAAGACTCCACCAAAGGTGGAATCCCCACAATTCTCCTTGAAAGACTGTCATAGCAGGACGTGAGACATTGGCCAATAAGATTCGTTCAGTAGCTTGCGTGCAACTCAAGTGGCCGGGTCTACGAATTATAGCAGCGCTCCACTAATTCCATGCGCAGGGAACACATGCTGCCAGAACCGGAGAAACAACAGACTTCTGACCACGTGGAATGCTGTCAAAAGACCATTCTGACTCCACCAAGAAGTTCTGCATCACTTTACCCTCTGCATTCTGAAAGCCAAGACTGACGCACCTGGAAGTAGATATCCACCGCCGAGTTCTCGTCCTTCGGGTTGAGGATCGGCGACGCGTGGTAGTGCGGCCTGCGCGCCTCTAGTTGCACCACTCGCCTCTCCACATGCTGCGCCGGGAAGAGCGGCCGCGACCCGACGCCCTGCTGCAGCGTCGCCTCCATGTGGGCAGTAAAGTCTTTGGCCTCCGTAGCCGTCCAATTACCTGCAAGCAACCCACAATATCAGAGATGGCACTGGACTGAGTTGGACGAGGAAATGAGCACTCTGGTTTGGTCCAGTGAATCGAATCTTCGTCCAACGCCTGGTTGCAGCGTCGCCTCGGAGACAAGCAGGAAAATTCTTGGCGTCGATTTCGGTCACCTGGAGGCGTCACACGGTGTGAAACATGGCAATGGAGAACCGATTGTCAGGAGCTGCACTGGTTCGGACGAGGGAGAAAGCAACAAGGAAGAAAGCAGATCCATTTTCCGTTTTCAATGCCTGGTTGCAGCGTCGTGAGCAGCGGGATCCGTCTGCTCCGCAACCGTCTCCCGTATGAGATACGAGTCAAGACTTTGGGAGAGCCCTTTAAGCAAAGGTGTAGTAGCTTCCAACATTCCTTTTCCAGATCTCCGATGCCCTGCTGGATCAATGCCGGTTTACCTGCAATGAACGCCTCCACAAACACGCGGGACAGCAGGCGCGGCACGAAGGCGGCCAAGTCGGCGGCGTGCAGGTGCGGAAGAACGGCCAGGTACTCGTCCATGTGCCATCGCTTATGCTCAAGTAGCAGCGACGCGTTGTACATCGCCTGCTGGTACGGCTGCTCGTACTTGAAGTTTTGGTAATCCTTCTTCACCTGGGCCTGCGGCGGAATGAGGAAGTAATTGCAAGTCAGACGTTGTGCTCTACCAAAATGAAACCAAGTTATACTGCAAGGGTCTCTTAAGCAAAAGATATGTAGAAGTAGTGCATCCTACTGGGCCTGGGTCGCAGTAAAATACAGCGATGGTATAAGCAGCAATTGGTGGGCGTTTGTAAGTGCGACTATGTGGGGAAGCGTTTGACTCGTCTTTGTAGGAGGAGTATTCAACCTTATTTTGGCAGTCCTTCTTCAAGTGGGCCGGAGTCGCGGCGGCAAAAATCCAGTACGACCAGGTACGGTTCGGATCTTCTGCTGTGTTTTCGGACTGAGATTAGAGTCTACGGCAAATGCGGAGACGATTCTGGGAGTTTCTTCTTTGAAGAACCTCAACATGGGCGCGAGTACTTTCCGGCATTCGTCGATGCTTCAAGGCCACCCCTAGTGCCTAGACAAGGTTTTAACAATGATTGTTCCTCTCCAAAAACTTGCACCCGATGCTCACCTTGATGACTGTGAAGCGCTCCTCCTTGACTTGGAAGGTCACGATCTTGTCCAGGATCTTCTCCCCCAGCGTGGCCAGCTTGTGGTTGTACCCGGAGAGGAACACCTGGAAGCCGCTCGCCGTGTTGTGGATCGTGTAGTTCAACCCAGCAATCTCCGCGTAGTAAGCTGCAGCGAACAAAGGAACCTTTGGAGAAGCTGGCAGCAGTGATGGAAGAATGTAAAATTACGTCGACTAAAAAAATGAACTTCTCACGAAACCGGGATGTGGCGCAGAGAGACCGAAACTGGAATGGTCTGCGGAAAGTCGGCGCCGTCAAGGCAGTCACCCCTCCTCAAGACTCATAATTGCAGTAAAACAAGCTTGCAAAAAGAGGCTTACGAAAAGCGGCGGATGAGACTCAATAAGGCCGCTTGACACCCCGCTTCTCCAGGTATCATGTTTGCATCACGAAAACGGTTACCATATCTGGCAGACGTTGCTTGCACAAGGCACTTGAGAATCTTCCGCTCACCGTACTCGTTGAGATAGTCGACGAGCAGCTTGGCGAAGATCCGGGTGAGCACGGCCGTCTCGGGGCTGATGTAAGACTCGGGACAGATGAAGTCGAGCGCGATGAACGCCTTGGGGATTTGAAACTTGGTGTCCGGCTTGAACCACAGCCGTGACAGGGGCGTCTCGCTCACCAACGCCGGCTGCTCCGTCTGCGCGACGATGAAAGTTCGATCAGGTTAGGGTCTTGATATAATAATGTTAGAACCGAGGGTATCGAAACTTCAGGCATCTAGCTGTTGAGGTTCCAGGAGTGGTTTCTAGAATGGTATGGAGTTCACGACTTCCGCAGACAGAGTTCTAGGGCTCAAAGGGAACAAGATTTGAGCTGGAAACAACTGTGCTCTTCCTTTGCCTGGTGTGCATCGTCGTGTTACGCTTCCATGTGCTGAACGTGGAGCAGCAAGACGAGGGTTTCGGCAGAAAGGGCTGCCTCCAACAGAAAAGCATTGTGAGTTCAGAACGTCTCAATTGAGTGGGTCTACGCTATGCTCTTTCCCCTTCGCTTGAGCCGCAATGGTGACGATTTTCCCGCAGTTGGAAAGCCGACAGCCGTCAACCCATCGCGCCAGTTCAAACCTCCCATCCGAGGAAATTACTACCAAAGCATGCAGCGGCCCCGCACCTTTGTCACCGGTGCCTTGAGCGCAAAGTCCGTGGGGATGAACTCGTTCGGCGCCGGCAGGTGCAGCCGGACGTCCGGAGCGCCACGTGTCCAGGCGTCCGTCCGGTCCGGGCCCAGCTTCTCGACGCTGTACTTGGTGCCGTACCAGGGCTCCTTCTCCGACAGCTGGTCCGTGAACTCTTTAGATGTCCAAAAGATCCTGAGGGGGGAGTTACATGGCGTGAGCGCGTGGGTAGGATCATTTACGTCAGGGCTTGTTGCAGAGTTCATGCTGCGATCGGCAGCCGGCTCCCGAAGTTGTCTGAAATTCGAAAGATGTTGAGGGAGGAGCAGCATGGCGCGCAGTCAAAGTCGTAAGCGCTCTTCAAAGCCTGCATTGAATGCATCGGCTGGGCCGACACACCTTCTGAACGGCCCAAAGAGTCTAGAGGGGAAAATTTGACTTCAGCACTGCATCAAAAAGCTTTGGCCCGGGTTTCACCACTTGTCACAGAACCCTTCTAAACGCCGAGACAGCATGGCGCAAAGGATAATGACGTCATTGATACGAGGGAGTTTGACGACGCCTAAGATACAAAAGTCTTCCAACATGAAGGCCATTCGACCACATGATCTCAACGGACGAACGTCGATACAGAATCCAAATGACATAGCCCGTAAGTCCCCAGAAACCTCGACTATAAGCCAGACCATGCCGACGTCCCGCACCTGACATTGGCGGGCGTCAGCGCATCCAACACTTCGTGGATGGCGGCCGCGTCGAACGTGCGGGGCAGCCGCCGGGCGGCCAGGCAGTCTTCCACGGGGTACAGCTGCGACATGAGCGATTCTTTGGCTCAGAAAAGGGTCGAGCAAGGAGCAAGTCGGTTCGTCCGACACCGATTGATCTCTGTGAGGCTACAGCGACAAGTTCTTTGGGGACCCTTGAAGCGAGGCGTACAACTCGATGACCGCGCGGCACAAAGATTAACGAGGAGCTTTTGAAGTTGAGCTTGACGCTGATGGAGGGGTCAAAAGCGGACTGAAACTTGTTTACCAGAGATCCGTACCCTGCATCTTGCGGCCTGGGGGTTTGCTGGTTTGATCTACAAACAGAACTTTCCAGCAAGCCCTACTCGAGGTTTCTGGTGACTGCGCGGAAGCTCTCACCTGAAGGCTTGTCGCGATTCCGGTGACGTACTGGAAGGGCGACGACTTTTCAGCGAAGTGGAACTTGGTCTCGCACACACTTTGCACCTGAATAAAGATAAGGGCAACACAAATATAAGTACTTCTTCTAAGAAATAGGGATTCGGAAGGAGGAACAAACGATCCGACCACGATCGTCAGGGCATCATTGAGAACGCAAGCAGAATTTCTTCACCGCCCACGTGCTTTGTATGCCCAGCAGATGACCATTCAATGAGCGAAAACATGTCGACGCCTAGCTTGAACAACCCGTTCACAGCAAAGTTTCTCCTGCGTGCTGAAGCAACAGCCTTAGTTTCCGACCTCGCAACAAACTTTCAGCCTATCAAGCAGCTCATTCACCTTGACGCAGCTCACATAGACTCTCCCTCACCTCTTTGAAAATCCAGTCCTGGACCCCCTTCTCCTTCAGCACCGCAATGTACTGGAAGACGAAGGCCGCCACTTCCTGCACGTGCTTTTGCCCCTCCTCTGTCAACTCCACATTGACCGCAAAGAATGCGTAGTGGGGGTTGCCGTCGCCCTCACCAGCTGACAGGCTTGCGGCCCAACCTGATCACGTACAAGAGAAGATACGTTGATGGGAGGTATCGAGTACAGGCATCTGTGACAGATAGCCTGTGAGAAGGGCAAATCAACCTGGGTCTGCATCTGCGGGTTGACTGGATGGTATATGCTGGTCACCAACCATTTCAGCATCCGCCACACAGTACTATTTCATTATCGTATGTGAATCGCAGCATCGTCGCCCACACAAAGAAAGGAACAGAAAGGGCGTTACACCTGCAAACCACACCTTCTCGTGTTGCCAAACACCCCGACTATGGAAGCCCAGGCCGTATCAGACTTGGCACTCTTCGACCGAAGTTGAGACGCTGGCAGCGAGGCTGGAGCCCCCCGGCAGAACCTGACCCTCAAATGCTGATGAAATCCATTATCTTTGTAGCAAGACGAGTCATGTTTGAAAACGAGGAGAGATGCTTATCGTCATCAAGGAGAAAGTGTCTGCAGAGCTCTACGAAAAGGCCCCGAATCTCCGACCAAGTCTATCAAGAACTGCTTCGGAAACCTTGGTAGGACCATTAGTAACCCTGAGTGTCTGAGCCAGTGACAAAAGATCATATTTGCGCCTTTTCTCTGACAGACAGACACATCGACCACAATCAACGGTTCGAAACGGGAATACCGGAAGTAGCAAGAACCAGACAACACTTAGTCACGTTAGCCACCTCGATACGAGTAATTTTCGCACCTTATGAACGGCTTTGGACACAAGAGAAAGCATGCAGCAAAAGCCAGAATTTTTGCAAAGGCAAAGGCGGTCTCCCAGAGCACTGCCTTTGAAAGAGTGCTCAATGACTCACACTAATGAGCGCCATTGGGCCGCTCTCCCAGATCTCAAGGCAGGATTGGCAGCATCCGAAACCGAGAGGAAAAGCTTTAAAGCGGCTGCTGACTTGGCTGCAACACCTCGGAGCAGCCGCGGAATTCAACTTGACGGCATCACAGAAAGAATTTCGACGGCATCACAGGAGGAGTTTTGACTCTAGAACAATCTCTAGTGCACGCATAAAGGAGCATGTTGGCATCAAGATTACTTGGCAAGGGCTGTCTCTGACCATCAGATGATGCCGTCCCATCTTTGCCGCTCCTGAGTGCATAACGACTCATATTACATGTTTGAGGGGAAGCGTCAACAAGAGACAATAGAAGGGCTCCCCAACGTGCTCATCTGCAATTTGGGTGAGAGAGACCCAGGATTGCTCCGTCCTTGCCACGTCAACTGAAGCTTACCATGCGCGAACGAGCCAAAAACGAAAGGCAAGGCTTAATAGCCACAGAAATGCGTGCACAGCTTCAGGGTGACTACCTCTGTAAAGAGAAAAGCATCGCAGCTCTTGGAGTATCTTGACGAGGACAAATAAAGAAAACCAAGTGTGTAACGGTATTGCTATTATCAAAAACAAAACCCCAGTCAACCGCACTGCTGAAAAAAGAAAGTAGCAGCCTGGGAATTGGGGCAATGAGGTGAGTCAGCATGATCTGGGCCAGACATTCTAGCGCAGTCTGTGACAATCAACTTCGTCTGTCCTTGCGGTTAGAGATTCAGAAGCAGACAGCGTAATTCACACGCGTCGTAAGCGGTATCCGCGTCCTCGCTGTATTGAACCTCAACGGTTGTTCAAACGAGATTGAAGATGGCACGCCATTTGCGTAGCAGCTTCGTCGGCCAGAAAGCCCATGATAATCCTAGTACACAACCTTTGTCATTCTGTGTCAAGCCAAACTGATGTCTTGGGCATCCGCATCAGAGCAGAAGACCGGCAGTTAGAGTCGCCGATCGATGCAGGCCCGTCAAGGAAGACATAAAGACAAACTCCACCGAGCCGCTGCCGTGACAATTCACCAATATCCCGACTCGTTGCATGAAGAGTTCAAAAAAAGCCACGGGTCTTCTGGCTCTATGGAGCCGCACAAGAACGGGTCTGGTCCACCGTCCACCAGCCTGTACGACACTGCCTGTCAAAAGCTTATTCCGACTTGGCAGAGGCTGAACTGGCAGAACAGGGTATCAATACGTTGATTAGGACAGGTCGCACAAAAACAGAGCCGAAAGTTGGTATCATGCGATCGTAACGACACTGGTGAACCACGTCAGAGCTAAGTTGAGCGCATTGGCGTCAGCGAAGGAAACGGAACATACTAGGTCCCGAAACCCGATTCTGTGTCGTCCTTGCCAATGGCAGTCAAAAAGACCTTACAAGAACAGCCACAAAAATGGGCGGTAAGGCAGTTCTGCTGACTCTTAGCCAATCCCATACACCAGGTATGTCGCGCAAGGCGAGCTTAGAGCTGCAGACCAAGGAGCAGCATTGAAAGGGATGGACAGCTTCAGATGAAGAAAGTCAGTCTTTACAATCAGACAATCTGCTAAACTGAAAAGGACGGCCGGCTTGATGGCAAGCATTTCCTCTTCTTGTCATTACCTCCGTCGTTTCCGGCTTTTTCAAAAGGCATCTTGAAAACATTTCAAATCGTGCCGGGCCTCCAAGGTGGAAGTAACGCAAGTGGCATCTCGACCGAGTTGCTCTGTGCGTGTAGCCTGGTACTCACGCTCTAGTGAACGGCAGTGAGATTTTAGGAAAACTTATGGAACTGGAGAAGACACAGAACTTCCCGAAAGAGCGCTCTTACCAGCTACGCATGCTGGCACAAAGGTCTAAGCAAGCACACGCTCGATGCCGGATACCGGTCGAAGACAGAACCACCACGTCACATCGATCGTTCGGCGTCAAGTTGAAAGCTTGAGTGAAACTGACCACCTCGTCATCAGTTGGACTGATTAATCTTCAAAATGCCAATGCTTGTTTCAACAAACATTTTTCAAAATGACCCGGTGAAACTTTTAGCAGGAGAGTTTTACAAAACAGAGGAAATGAGCGCATCCGCATCCCAACATGCGAACGACAACCTGGCAGTGCGAGATAATTGTTTCCCAAGTACTTGAAACCTGGCTGCCCACGGCATCACTTGAGGGATCCCACAACATTAAGAATAAAAAATATTTTTGCTCAGATACACTTGGCTGAGGCTCTAAAAACAGGCGCAGTCAAATAGGATACAGCGCTGCGCTTCAAAACAGGATATCGTTTTTGTATATCCGCAGCAACGACTTAGGGATGGACATGGATAATGGCTTTCGGACTCCCTAAATCGGATGAGCCTGGAAGCTCAGAACAACCTCGTCACGGCCATCGAGAAGAGATTCAAAGCAGCTAAAGTTGCATAAAACAAGGTACAGACTGATTCTATGGATACTCCTCGTTGCCCTTTTCGACAACGGACCAAAGAATGCGGACAATTGAACACAATAACAATCTCCGAGTTTAAGGTTTCCGACTAGGATTGGCCGTGACGACTCATATCACAGAACGAAGAAACCCAGCCAAGTCCTTGAATCAAACTCCCCTCATCCGTTTTCCACCCAGCTGGTCAGCAGCGCAAAGGAGCTGCCGTTCCCCTTGACGGCTCACATTGACGGAACCCAAGTCAGCCAAACTCTCAGACCAAACTCCCCTGATCCTTCCTCACCCAGCTGTTTCAGAAGCGCAAAGAGGCTGCCGTCTCCCTCGTGCCCCAGTAAATGACCCAAGTACCGGCTCGCCGCGGCCTTGTACTTCTTCATTTCGGGGGAGATTGGCCACAGAAACTCCACGTTGTGGCCCTCCGTTACGGGCTCCCCCCGAATTAAAATCTGCATACCAGACAGTGCAACTGGTTGACAGGCAGAGATATCAAGGAGCAAGGAACACAATGAAAGGGTTTCGGTTTGTTGGACGATTGATGCAGAAACTTCGGCAATGAATCCGACGCTGTGGCCCGCCGTCACGGGCTTCCCCCAACTCAACCAGCGGCAGGCGGATTGGTTGAGGGACGCAAACATGAAGGGCAAGAAACATTATGAAAGCCTTTCAAGGCGTTGGACGGATCATTGCAGAGTTTCCGAAGTGATGGAACGCCTGGAAGCCTAGGCCAGGACAATTCATTGCCAAGATTTGCAAACAGTCTGTCCGCGTATTAATTGTAGGGTCGTATACTTCTCCCATGGTTGAGTAAGAAGCGTTTGACTGTGGGGAGGATCACAACCAAGGTACGAAACCTCGTACCAGCCACCGTCCGAGTCATAGGGAGACAGATTGGAACTGAAAGGAGATACAGTTCACTAAAAAGACTAAAACAATCGTTGCGAAGAATCTTAGAGCTCCCCCACGCTTTCGAAAGGGTGATGCAAAGGCAGTAAACTTGGATATTGGAATTCTTAGGAATGCTCGAACACTTCGTGGGCTCGAACTTGAAAGCAGGATTTCACAAAGTTTCGGCTCAGCTCGACCCCGACGAGACTTCAACAAAGGTGCCTGGTAAAAGTCGGTCCTCTCGATCCATTTTAGGAAGGTCGTGCGACGGACCTGTAGGTTTGGCGCGTCGAGCGGCATCTCGGAGAACTGCGGGGTGCTCTTGCTGGTGTTCTTGACGGCGCTGAACTTGTCCACAACCATGCTCTGAAGCACGTCGAGTGAGTCTGCAAAATTCGACGGCACACAACGGACGTCTGCAACAGCTTCGCCGACGTCTGAATGACATCACAAAGAAGCGAGTGGAGCCGCATGATGTAGATCGAGGCTGAAAAGCTTCGACGGAAGGTATTTCGACGGAAGGTGTTCAGGTGGCAGAGGCGTGTTATAAAAGCTCCATCCGAGCCTCCGCGAGTTGTCCGGTTCGATCCAAATCAACGAAGAGTTCAACTCAATGAGCAAGGCGAGTGCGTGACAGAGTAGCAAATATGCCGCTGCCTACCACCCCCGACAAAAGATTCGCTCTGAAGGTGCGTCGAACAACGCCAACAAGAACTGAATTGGACAACAGAACTGTGGTTCCCTTGTCTGTAAGTGCATCTAAGGAAAGGACAGAGAGGGGAGCGATTGACTACCTTTGCCGTAGACGACCAGGCGCATCAGGTTTGCGGAGTAATGGGCGGTGTAAAACTTGATGAGCTCGTCTCGCGTGTTCTTCCCGCACGCTTTTGGCTGGACATCCAGCGTCTCCAGGCTGCCTGCCATTGAAGGGAAGGTCCAAGATTCTAACAAGGGGACCCTAGAAAAACGAGGGCTCGCAGTGTCCAATATCAGCAAAAGCCTCTCTTGTCAAACCGGAATAGACCGACTGATAATGCGGGAAGCAGAGACAGGAGCCGCAACGCGAGCGCTCTTAGTGAGTTAAAACGGGTCTGAGGATGGGCGACGCAACCCACCTGTGCCAAACTTGTGGAAGGGGTTGCTCTCCTTGCTGAGGTGCTTCTGCAGCTGGTTGAAGCGCCATGCGTCGCTCGTCAGGTTCTTGCTGTTCTCTGCAGTAACAAACGGACTGAGGATGAGGGCCAGGCTGATGCCAGTCAGCGTCTTAAGCGCTCATCCTTCCAAAAGATTCCAAAAGAGGTAGATAAACCAAGAAGGACTACCAACTGTTATAGTGGAAGTGAAGAGACCAGCCGCCTGCTCGCTCGTCCTCCCAAAAGCGAAGAGTTTCTTGCAAGGCATGCCCCAAGTGCAATAGATGCTTTGAAACCAGCATTCCGAAGTGGAGATCGGAAATCCGATCGTTAAAGCCCACTTGCTATTCCAGGAACAGCAGTACAATCAACACGAGGGTTTCACGACACGCCAACCAAATCTCGACAGATCTCTTGCTCACTCATACACAAGGCCAAGGCAAGTGAAGTTGATGATTCGCTGACCTGAGTCCACAGCTTTCATCTCCCGTGAGGTTGCATCCTCTGAGAGCAGCGGCCCAATGAAGAACTGAGCGAAGCGGTCCAGGGCCTCCTCCAGAAACTCGGCGTTGACGTCGAAGTGGTAGTTGGTGTCCTCTGAGCTGGTGTATGCATTTGAGCGGCCGCCGTGCTGCACACGGGAAACGGCTTATCAGACAAGTGGTGCAATTTTTTGGGAGAACACGACACCTGAGATGTGTGGCGGAATTGGTGATATATATACACGTCTGAATGGAAATGGACTTTCAGCGACCAACTTAGGCTGCATGCGGACAATGAATTGTCTCCTCTCAATCAACCAATCAAACCGCTTAGAGGGCCAGCGTTGGACAGTAGCTCCAGCTTATGAAAGCAAGCTGCGGCTTGAGTTCCACACTTATCCGGGCGTTCAGAACATTGATCTGTAAACCCCGCTTGATAGCATTCAAAATCTAATATCCACCTTACACAAGCTCGGAAAGGACGAGCCCAATGATGATTCTGAAGCAGAGCAAAAGTCAATATTTCAACAGGACATACAGAAGAAAAGTGCACGAGCAGGAGAGAAGGAACAACTGATTCCTGGAAAACCCACTGGCTTGTAAGACCCACTGGCTATGAAGGATCAATAACACAGGACTGGAGATGTGCTCTAGCGTTATACCCTGCTATCAGAAAAGAGACAGAATATCCAAGATGGGGGCTGACCTCTGTCAAGTACTTGGAGTAGCTGTCTTCTTCTGGATACTTGGCGCTTGAGTAGAACAACATGTGCTCTGCGGAAGTGAGGCACCAATCAGAATGTTGGAGGCCGCCTACAGATTCCAAACCTCTCAGTAATTCTGAAATCTGTCAATCCTGCCATCGATGACTTGCACCCACCCTGCGGTTTGCTGTTGAAGAAAGCTTGTGAGTCTCTCTAGCCCAAGCAGTGTTTATAGATGGATTGACTGCACTTCCTGCAACAATGGAAGCGCCATTGGAAAGCCAGAACACTGAGAATGGATAATTGTGGAAATAGGCTGCCCAATACTTTGATGAAGAGGTGGTGGTCCATCACTAATCGACTGATCCCCTACTTTTCTATGCCAGACCCCTTACAGTATTGCTAGGATCCTAATCCCATTGACACTTCCAACTCACCAAGGAAGTGAGCGAGCCCAGAAAGGTCAGGAGGGTCAAGGAAGTAGCCCGCTTTCACGTCCATGGCCGCCGCCGCCTAAGGTGGGAGATGAGAGCGCCAAAGTCAGAAAGTGGTGGTGCATGTACATTGATTGACAGGAGTTCGTGTCTAGAACAACTGATTGCGCGCTTCCAGGGGTTTCTAACCAACTCCAACCTGACCAACATTTTAGCCACAAGAGAGTGTTGACCACCACTCCAAACTGACAACCTTGCTCTGCATGGCGTGTAATTTCAATTGCCAACATAATTTATTTGGCTCATTCAGGTGACGAATCAAAAGAACTTTAGTTTTCAGAAACTGGTGATTTGCACGAGCGCTCTTGTTTGCCCTCCAGAGTCTCACCTTGTCGGTTTCTGGGTCGCTGATGAGAAGCGCTTGCAGCTCATTCTCTAGCCGCACCCACCGGTATGCGCGCTTGTCGCTACGGGGCTGGAGGACCACGCCATCCTTGACCTCAACCATCCTGACAGCAACACAATTTTACAACCACAGCGAAGGGTGACACTGAGAAGAGCAGGCATAAAAGTGCTTGTAATCCGTGCGATAGCGAGGGTGGTCTACAAATTAATAAAGACCGTATATCGCAGATGTCGGGTGGTCTACAAAATTGGGATCCCCGGGCGGTTGTCACAGGGAAGTACCGGGCACACTAAAAACCTAGGATAGAGTGACCGCCACACACCCTAATGTCACTGGGAAGTGCCCGGTTGTCACTCGGTTGCCCGCGAGACCCTAATGTCACAGGGAGGGCCCGGTTGCTTCCCGGGCGGTACGCGAGACCCTAATGCTAGTGGACTTGCAATGCTGGTTGAACCCGGGGCAAGCCGCCGCGAACCACCACCCCACTCCCTCCAAAAAGGGGCGCCGCCCTTATGTACTGCAATTGAGACGGTCGCGGCGAGCAACTTTGTGGGTCGACACGGACCCGTTGCGCTATCGGACCGTGCATTGGATATCGTACGGTGCGCGATGCAACCGCGGTCCAACCCTCTTGTCAAATGTGCCATTTCGCACGGTCTTGACAATTTTGTCGGGAGCATCGACATCTGCGATATATGGTTTTAATTAATTTGTCCGGTCGTCGATCATCGCATGGAAATAAGCCACTTTTCTTACTCGAGAAGAGAGGAGGGAATTGGAGGCCCTAGCTAGGCTCTACACAGCAAGAAGCTTGCATACCTACACAGTGACAGACGCTTGCATACATACCGTGCACAGTCAACGGTGGCCTGGTGGCCAGCCAATAATTTCCGCTTATATCAGCATTTTATACTCCCATATAGCTTTCTTTTATACGTGAATATAAAGCACGACTGCCCTGACAAAAGATGGACATTTCACGTGATCGACCTGCAAGTCCCTAAGTCGAAGTGAACTCGAATATTGACCCAGGTTGTGTGTTTCTCGTCATTGTCGTACCAGTAGCTACCGTACTAGCTGGAATTTAAAAATCATAGATCTATAACAGTGCAAAGAAGAAATGGGTTGCCTAGACTTGCCTAGCATTCGAGGTTCCTGCCCATCAATGATTCAATGGCATCATTCAAAAGCAGGAAAGGGAGTTCGCCATCTGCGTGATGGCAGAGGCACTTGGCTGAATAAGTTTGATTCCTTCACATGAGGAGGACTGTTTGGGAGCCAGCAAGCCGTATAGCACAGCAACGGGCTCCATGGAGGGACGGCGCTCTTTGCGCATTGCGCTCCTTTGCATTGCCTCCTTGTGTATGCAGTTCTCAATGGCTACCACCACTAAACTGTATACAGATACAGAAAGGTGAGCCATTTTTTTTATCAGTGGGCAAAGAGCAGACTGGGGGGCAATGCTGGGGTGTAATGTGTGGGATCTACTGTTGAGTGTGGTGGCGCCACAAGTTCTGGGCAATCCTTGCGAGACAAGAAGATGTGTCCGCTGTGCAGGTTCTGCAGACGTTACATCGTTTCATGGACCACTGAAAACTAATAAACTGTGCTCATATACCTGCTGGAAACATATAAATGTACTGACTACTTTTCTCCCAGTGGTTGCTGGAGATCTTGTTCCTTCTTCCCAGCGAGGTCTTCTTACATCATTTCCTTTCGGCGCGCAGATGTTTAGCGGGATTAAGACCTTTCCAGTTGTGAACTCCACATCATCTCCTAGAAAAGCACTTAGTGAGGACAGTTGCTCGAGGTCGTGCGGGGCATGAAGTGGCCCTACTTCTGATAAGCTTGTACTTGGATCCAGGGTGCACTTGTTCGAAACGGCGGAAGAGTTCAACACTGCAGTCGTAGAGAGCGACGATCGGGTCTGGCTGGTGAGTCTCTTGCCTTCCTCTCATGTCTATATCTGCATTGATTGTCAGTTCATGGTGGTAATTAGTCTTCTGGGTCACCTTGCCCCTCAATGTGGCCATGTAAACATGCTGCGCGTCCCAGAGGGAGAGTTGACGGCTGGTCAAATGTGTTGCTAGTGAATTGAAAGCCTCCTGCACGTTCCAAGTCAGGCACAGGGATATATCTCACCCTTGGTGCTATCTGTCCCTTTTGCAAATGTGCGCTGGAGTACTGCTCTTTCAGGGCTGATAACAATATCCAAGTTACATGACAAATAAAGGAGAAAAGGACTGATGTTGGAGGGTTTTCAACGTACTGAATCTAGTGTATGTGCACAGGTCAACTTTTTTGCAGACGACTGTGACAATTGTATCCTGGTGAGTCACGCATGCTCTAGCCCACCGGTATGTCCATATGACTCGTACATAACTTCGTCATTCCAGCTCCTTATATGTCAGGCGCAATTTGGACAGGGCAGTACTTCGTATGTGCATATACTGACAGACTAAGAATTACCTATGACAAGGTCTGTTTCGAAGAGAAACCGGCAAGAAGCGGAATATTCGAGAATATTCAGTCAGAGTAATTATTCCTCTACCAGCCCCGGTACAGGCTTCCTTGATCTTGTCAAAGTGAAGACAGTGATAGACATTGTTTAGTTCTTAACTGAAGCTTTCTCTGGTCGCAGTTGGCCACCCAGGTCCCAAAGATCGCGGAAAAACTGGACGGTTTTGTGGAGGTGAGTGAGCGTACTCAGATTTTCAAGGTGCTCTCGTCTTGGAGTGACGACAATGCAAAGGTCTCGGAGTCAATGGAGACGGGATGCTCTTGAATTTGAGCTGAGCGCCTTACCATACGACACCGCTTACTCAATCTGTTGATGCGCTGCAAGTGACATAGACGCCCCAACGAGATATCTGCAAGTTGACCTGTCTAAGTTGCTTATCTACAGGTCGGGGCAGTCAACTGTACTCAGGTGCCGATCGTATGTGGGGCCACAGGAATCAAGGTACTGGAAGGTCACCCTATAGGGGTCAAGGTCACCTTCATCACCTGACCTTACACCCAGATATCAAGTGACCTGACTCCTTGCACCAACGACTTTTCCTTTGACTCAGATTACTTTATATGCAGCAGCTTTGTGAAACTCTGCAACAAGTGCGATGATGCTCCGTTTTCTAAGAGTCATCCGCAATGACTCCTGCTAGTGATTATTCTGCGGTCGAAAATCTTGAAATAGAAACTCTTCTACTCTCCTGCAGTTCCTGCCTTCGCTGAAGGTGTTCGACTGGGAAGTCAAAGAGAACCCGTACACAGGGGTGCCTTACAAGGTAGGGCCATGATCTCACCAACTTCTGAACGACAAGTTCGTCTATGCAGCGCTCAAAATAAGGTTACTCGGAGTCCAGTAGAGATCGATGAGCCTGCCGCCGAGATGTGCGTCTCAGAATGGATACTACGAACCAGGTCCACTTTCGGTACATATTCAGACTGGTTTTATTCATTTTTGATGAGACTGCTCCTGATCGCTTGTGCAGGAGCCTCCAAAAGAAGTGCTCAAAGATGGGGAAGTGGACCCCGCTGCCCTCGTCAAGCAGGTCAAAGGTAGAATAATCGGATTGGTTATGGAAAAAATCTGGTTTCCTGACTTGGACGTCACGTCAACAATCCTGCTCGTTCGCTTTTGCTTTGGACACATCTAACTCACTTGCCCCGCTTTGAGAACATGTTTGGTGTTTGTTGAAAAAGGTCTGACTCCAGAGAGTGTGCGAAGCTTGATCTGACGCGGGGCTTGGAAGGCGGTTGGGCTTGAAGGGTCGGCTCTTGGATGAATGCGCCCCAGTGAGGTGTTGTCAAACTCGTTTGTATATTCGGCACAGGCTTCGTTCCAGACGCCTTTGTTCGACAAGTTGCGAGCGGCTCGGCCGAGGCAGAGCAGCTCTTTCAGGAGACTGGGATCCCAAAGGTTGGTGGAATAATTTGGACACCTCAAATGGACCATCTTGATCAAACGGAGGATGAGATAGTGCTTGCAGCACACCGTATTTGCAGCTTTTGTCTAAGCTTTTCGCAAGGACGTTCAAGAGCGGTGGCTTCTCGGAAGTAGCCGTGTTGCTTCTCAGGTTTCCTGTCGCTGCGAGGATCGTACGTAAAGTCGTTTTTCCAATCGGCCAATTCGTTTCCTGTCGTTTCGATGCTGCAGGGCAGAATACAGTTGCCGAGGCCCGCCGCTTTTGGATGCTTACCCCCAGTGCTGCTCCTTCGCAGGTTCTCTTTCTGTCCACGAAGGATAAGCCGTCAGCCCTTCTCAAGGCGCTGTCACTCCGATACCGGTGAGCTTACGGCTCGTTATCCGTTAGGCGCTGTCGTCATTTAAATGCTCGCTCCAGACGTGACGGCGGGAGTGCTGAAAGTTTGTTACGGCCTAGTTCGTTGATTTTATTGCACCGCATAAGGCCCCAATCAGGTTCGCCTAGGGACGACCTCCTTCCAGATTGTATCCTGGACATTATTTAAGCGGTCTACCAGACTTGTTGACGACACTCTTGCGACATACCTCCAGTTCGAAACAGGCTGTTACACCGTAAGTCCGAGGAAAAAGCTTGTTCGTGAAGTCAATGGTTCTACAAGCAGAAACGTCGTACTCTGAAAAGGAACAGTCTGCCGTTCGTACTTGCAGAGAGCGTCTCGAGTTTCTCTTTGGATCCTCCACGGACGAGGAGCTACTACAGAAGCTGCCAGCAGGAAGCGAAGGCCAAGACTCGCTGTTCGTGATCAAGGTAAACTTGTTAGTAGCAGTCCTAGGCCCGCTCGTTTTTCTGCCCAGCTGAAGGTGTAAAGCTAGAGGGTCTGCCGAAGTTGCAAATTCACCCTTTTAGCAGCTCGCTTGTCTCACCGCCCGGGCTCTTTCCACAGCGCAGAAAGCAGTTCGGAGACTCTATCAGGCTCTGTACATTGAAGAGAAACGGATGACGAACCTGGGCCTAAGTCTCCTCTCTTAGAAGATTTTCGAAACCGGTCAGGCCAGGAGTCGACGGCCTCTCTTTTCTTTCTTACGCTCAGCCCGGAGGCGAGACCCTCCTCCACGACGGCCCGCTCAAGAAGGACGCTCTCACTGAGTTCCTCTCCGCGCACGCCATCGAGCGCCCACCAAAGGCCCCTCGCGCTGCGCCCGCAAGTGAGGACGACATCGCAATCGACGAAACGCCGTCGCGCACTGGGCACCTCACAGCGCTGAACGCGTCCGGGTTCGAGCAAGAGGTGTTCAAAGTGGAGGCTGCGTGGGTGGTCGCTTTCTTCCGGGAGCCGTGTGAGGAGCAGTATGAGCAGTGGGGGGAGGCCAGCCTGCCTCTGTCCGGACAGGTGCCCATCTGCCTGGTCAAGTTTCCTGGCCGTCAATGCTCCTTGCGCTGATGCAACCTTCCTTCTTCTGTTCCAACGTACGCGCAAGTGTCCACAGGAATTAGCATGTTGATCGCGCTCTGTGCAAGAAGTCAGCCATACTTGTTGAGCGGGAAGACAGCCACCAGAAAACTTAATCAGACCTTTAAACACTCACAATCTGAGCACTGTATTGATTAAAATCAAGCTCATGAAACGATATTGTTAGAGTTCTGGCAAGCCCAGACGCAGAGTCCTTGACCCAAGCAGTCACGGGTTTGATTTGTAAATGAGTCTTCATGCCGTGTTCGATGTTTTTTCCTGCGGGCCGTACCGATCATCAACTCTGTCTCGCTTTGTTCGCAGGTGCGCCTTGGTACCTTCAACCTTTCCGCGCATCCAGAAGGCGAAAAGTAAGCGGTTTTTTACCCGTTCTACTCTGTGACGGTTCCTGCACCCGCTCTCTCAAGATGCTAATGTGCTTGTGTGCTTTTCATCCAGCCAGCTGGTTGCTTCGGTTGGCCGCCCTTCTACATCGTTATCCGACTTGTTAGTCAATGACCGCTTTTCTTATTTCCTTGGTGCACCTTGTTCTTCCGGGAGCGGAAAACTTTGGTCGCTCTTGGATTCGCTTCTTCGAAAGCCTGAAAGTCGTGTCGCTTTTTCAAGCCCCTCGCATTCGGCCGCAGGTTTTGGGCGGACGCGGCCTCGGGGGCGCATCTGACCGCCAAGGACTGCCTCCGAGTTTTGAGCTACCCGTTTGGGGAGGACAAGGAGGAGGGCACTGCCGAAGTGAGCTCCATCTTTTTACTCTGAATACATTGTGTGCTTTGACCCTGGGGCCCAACATCTCAGAAGCAAACAGATTCGGCTCCCTAGCTTTGGCAACAGGCTCCAGCCATCAGTTGGAGCTGTTCTTGAACGTTAAACACCTTGAAGCCTTTCTCACTCTGCTAGACAGGATACCAATACTATGTAGCTTTCATCCTATGCCTTGACGGGTTTGATGGCCGTTAAAATCAGCCTCATCCTGGCATTGAACTTGGCTTTTCTGCTCTAAAAGGATGTCATTTATTGGACCACACGTACTTTAGTTGACACGAGAGCATGAAGAAGTCGAGCCCTAAAGCTACCTTGCGGATCCTGCCGTTCATCCGCACAAAAGTAGCCGTCACAGGAAAGGGAACCAAGATTGGCCCACTTTTTTGCTGCGCAGCTGTACGAGGGGCCTCTGGAGGGCAAGGCGCTGTACAAGTTTGGGCTGGACAGCGTGCCCGATTTTGTGACGCCACTGGAGTCCAACGAGGCCCTGGACGTGTTCTTGTCGCGGGAGCAGTGGAAACCAAAGGTGCGCCCTGCAGTTAGGATTGAGAACGTCCGTTCGCAGGATGATGAACGGCTGAATTCGTGCAGACTCACGTATCTCTTTCTTTCTTATCGAAAATAAGTCGACTGTGTGCGCAACAATGTCCCCTCCAGAGCACGGCATACACAACTGACGGAACCATGGGGCGTCGCAGATGTTGCTCTTCACTGCCAAGAAGGAGACCCCGGACATGTGGCGAGCGCTCGCTGCGCGTTTCCGAAACGCGATAGGCTTCGCTTTGGTAAGTTGCGGAACGGTTGCCGGCGTTGCATGACAGGGTTTCATAAGAGGGAGATTGTCAAGCAACGACGATCACGTTAGGCCCGTTCTCAAGCGGGTTGCCGGACGTGGTTCTCGCAAGTGCAAAACAGAAGAAAACCGACAGTGGCTTGTCTCAGTAGCGAGTGCTCTTGAACACGGAAGAGTCTCAGCAGCTCGAAAGCGGCGTTTGAAACAGTAGCCTAATAACGCCATTTGGATTCTGCTGAACGCATTCAAGGATTGGCCAGCTCGTTCAGGCAGATTCATCCTGACGGTCCACCTTTCTGGGCGCCCTTGCAGGTCCATGAAGATGACTCTGAACTCTTGGAGCGGCTGCGCATCACCAAGGTTCCGAAGGTGGGGTCCAAGCTCAGGCTGTCCGGTTTCCTCCGTTTTCTCGTTCCGCAACCTCCCGCGATTGCTTCTTCAAACAAGAGAGAGGAAGGATCTTTTCAGTTTATTACCGAAGCCGAGCTTTCGATATGACCACCTTTTAAGCGGCGTCGCAAGCAGCGTTGGTCGCGCAGCGGCCCATCTGAAATTTTGTCGAAGACGCCGTCAGCTCCTACGAGGAACGATTGGCGAGCACCAAGACGTTCAGGCCCTTCACTTCCAGAAGCGGAATGAACGAAGATTGGCCATGTCTGATCCTTCATCTCAGATTACACTGGAATTAGAGAGCAGAGATTGCACCACCTTCACTCACGTTTCCTTCCCATTCCGGTTCAGGTGTTGACCATCTTCGCCCAGCCGAGCGAAGAGTCAGGCGAGCTTGGACTCTCCATCCAGCCCTTTCCCCGGGCTCTTAAGCACAGCAACCTAGCTATGTGGTGCCACCAGGTCAGTCGTTTGAATCAGAATGCTGAGCCCTAAACAGATACCCGTGGGGTTGCAGCTTCTGCTTCTTTCGTGATGGTCTCAGTCCTGCTTGACTGTGGCACCGCTTCTGCCCTCCTTGTCTCATGTGAACAAGTTCCTAGATAGCGAGTCTCTCATACTGAATTCGAATCCTATATCTTTTAAATGCAACAGATGTTCGTATGTTCTTGATAAGATTGTTTGCGGAGCGTGATTGGGTATCTTTACTTTAAATCATCCTTGCCACTTCCTTTTGACATTCTCTCTCCTCCTGTCAATTCGCAAGGAGCGTCGCTGGTTGACCATACGAGTTGTTGCCTTAGAGAAGAAGCCGAGTGGGGGCAAGAAGAAAGGGCGACTGAATGAAAAGCTTATTCGACATCACCAAACGTGGAGTCTGCCTTGTGCTGCAGATCTCAGCTACTCTGGAGGCGACGAGAAGAAAGGGCGGTGCCGGCGCGCTTTCTGTACGTCAATTGACGAGCGACGAGGATTTCCAGCAGCAATGCGTGGACAAGGGGTAAGAAGTGGGAACCTTAAGGTTCCTGCCATCCATCAGATGAGTTACGGAACTGACTGTTATGCGAAGAGCGAAAAATAGAAGGACATTTTCTGATCCTTCTTGTCCTAGCTACTAATCGGGAGTGTCAAACATAGAAGCATGTGTTTAGGCTGGGGCTTGTGTGCTGCACGAATTCAATCTGTAAAGTTGACCAGCTGTGGTGGTCGCAATCTGCTGCAAAGCCTAGGCTGTGCGTTCGACGTGCTCAAAGGAAAGCACAATATCGTCATAAGAATCTGCAGAACCCAGGTGCAAGGCAGTTGGGCTGCTTGAAGTCGGCCTCTCAAAAAGGAAAAGCTCTTGACGTTTGTGCGTTTACCTTTCAGCCTTCACTTTGGGATTATCTGCTCTCAGCTCGGCACGGAACGCGGCAACTGTTTACGTTGAAGCGCCTGAACGCTTTATGAACGTGCACCGCTCTTGTCGAATTACTACTGTTGTGACGTTGATCAGACTCGGCTTAACAACATATGACCTTTTACTATGAACCTGACGGTATGGACCAGCGAAGTTCCGCATATTTACAATTTCACGACTCTCCCGGTATCATACTTCTTCCAACCTTGCCACGAGAAACGCTAGATCAATCTCGTCCCTCTTTGGCAGCATCTGCATCGTCGGTCTGTTGGACGGCTCCCAGGGGGATCCCTCCGGCCAAGTCGACACGCTCAAACAAGTTGCGCAGCTCAACCCGCTGGGGCCCGTCAGCTACGCCTGGGTTGACGTCACCTCCGCGCCCGGGTTCGCATACCAGTTGGGACTGTCGCGGTCAGACGCGCCGACGGTGGTGCTCCTGAACGCGAAAAAGATGCGGTACGCGCGGCTGGAGGGGGCGTTCAACGTGCGGACGCTGACAGCGTTTGCGGACGGCGTGGTGTCCGGGAAGATTGGGGTGTCCAAGCTCGACGTGAGTGCGCGCTCTCCATCTTTTATACGCTGAGCGTCTGGCGGGCAAATATTGAGGGCGATGTTCTATGGGCTTAGGGTTTCTGCTTACGTGGTATTTAGGAGCTTAGACCCTTTGGGTACCGTTGGTGTCTGGCTGTCGCGCTGCAACAGTTACCTTGGCTCGCACGGCACGTCTGGTTTAGATTAGGAAGGCAGGTATCCTTTATGAAGCTGATGCTTTCCTTGCAGCTTGACGAGCTAGGGCAAGTCCGTCATTGTTTTCTGTTTCTTTCGGTTCGGATTTACAAAGCCTTGCCCTCTGCGGTTGCCGTTAAATCCGTCATAATGGTGTTGCAATCGACCTTAATCAGTAGCCAAGGTAATTGCTAAATGCGTCGTGGATCTTTCAGATCCGTTGTCCAGATTGCTCACCTAGAAATTCCTGGTCACGCAATCTGCTCCTTCGCAGGCGCTGCCGACGTTTGCTGCTGCGCCCCCTGAGGACGAAGACGTCTCTGTCGAAGAGGTGGAGGAGGTAAGACTCCCATTACCGGCTACAGTCGAACGACGAGTGTCCTTTGCGTCACTTATTAGATGCAAATTTCAGAACAGTCTGCCGCTTCTGCGGTTCATAATTTATTAGAGATCAACAGCACAGCGTTACGCTAGTAGCTGGCCTGTCTAGACAGTTTGGTACAATAGTTTCTGGCTACCACAGACCCGGACAAAGTTGGTCAGAGCTCTCACTAACTTGAGTGCCAAGCACGTTGTCGGGAGAAAGCCGTAGAGCAAGCCTCAAAGTTCGTCAGAAAAGCACTCTACCTCTGAATCTGACGGTCAATGTGGGACCCAAACGACTAGATTTGTCTTACTTCATGCTGGACCCGTGTATCAGTCTGTCGGACTTGTTGATGGTTGATTCTTACTTCAGTCTACTGCGAAGTCCGCTTCAGAGATCTATATGCGGCAAAACGCACAGTGCTCTACTTTGACGCCAGTACCTTTTGCATCAAGACGGTCAGAACGAACTACTTTGGTACAAAATCCAGGGCGTTCGTTGGTGACAGATAGCTTCTATTCCTCCAGGAATTCAATCTGGAAGAAATCATGAAGGAGGAGGTGGACGCCGGCGATGCGAAATCGCGTCAGGAAAAGCTTGCCGAGGTGAGGCAGCCGTCACTTTCATTTTGGCAGTTTCGTTTGGGGTTAGTTGGAGGCTTCTATGTTATGATTCCCGACTCATTTTGTACCTTTGTTTCAAAGTGCCTGAACGACGGAAGATGCTTTTGGTATTGGCCTGGGGTAGATGTTCCTAAATGTACTTTCCGTAGTCGCTTTTTTGGCGAAAAGGAGTCAGGTGAGGGTCAAAATAACGTCACGGCGCCAAGGAGCTTGATGAAGTGGTTGCTCCGGGGTGCAGCTCGAGAAGCAATTGAAGGACGAAGCAGCGGCTCTTCTTCTGGAGAAGGAGAAGGCCGCAAAGACCGGCACGACAGGACCCTCAAAAAAGAAGAAGAAAAAGAAGAAGGCAGCTAGTAAAGGGCAAAATCGAGCGGAGCTTTGAAACTGTAAGAGGACGGCATGCACCCGCAAGCCTCCTTTGCGAACAGATTGAATGGGAGTGCGTTAAGTATGGTCAAGAGAGAATCAGTACTTCAAGTCGTCCAAGTCGTTCCATCGGGTTGGTAGGCTCGTTTGCATGTCTTGAAAATTTAAGCACATTCATCAACTCAAGATTGGCATTGTGGCGCACATGCTGCTGGATGTTGTATGCCAACTTCAGGTTTTTCGAAACAGAAGGGGCGATAGGACAATTCTGGCACGAGGAGCAAAGCACGCGCCTTTGTATCCTCTCAATTCGTGATCCTTCTTTGTCATGAATCCTTGCATTGCTTTTTTGGATCTCTGTTTGCACGCATGTTCCGATCACGCCTCCTCAACTCAATGACATCGTGCACACGCTTACACTGTACACGGTGTAAGTAGGTTATGATGCCGCAAGCCTGCCGCGCAGAATTATTCTCAGCCCATCGAACGTCATCAATGTAAACGGCAACGAGATCTAAGTGCAAGTGCCATCATGCAATATCATGATTGGCTCGATGCGGTCCTTAATTTGCGGGTGAAGGAGCTCAATTTTCGAAGCCGGCAATCGCGGCATGCAAGATCATTGGTCGATTGAGTACAATAAACTACGATGAACCAACGGCACGAGTATAAGAAGAAGATCGCAAGTGACCGCTCAAGTCCTGAGGAGCGACTCAGTACCTAGGCTAGCGGGAGTTCGTTGCCTGACCTCGGCGCGGCGCTGAGTGGCCCGCGGCCGCGCGCCAGCCGGATCGCGGCGGCCAGCCTGAGATCTTATCCAGATCCTCATCTGGATCCGTCGATGTCACCCAAAGCAGGAAGGTTCTAAACGCTGACCTGGACGCAGGTCGGTACCACGTTGGATTTTCGGGACGGTAACTCTACCCTAACAGATTTGTGCCTTAAGTAAGACTGGCGCCCGGGGTAATGGTGTGGTTAAATTGTTGGTTAGGTTGAGTCGGGCTGCGAACCGCAGATATTCTTGGGTTATGAAAGATCGGGTTGTTACATTGTTTCTTTGCTCGGGCTCTACGTCACTGCTCACAAAAGTTAACAAAACGTTACCAGTATCCACTCCGACGCACACCGTACCGCTACTGGTAACTTGCGTGCTCATGATTACGGGGTGGGGCAGCGGGCCCGGGCCCTCGACCCGGGCGCCAGACAATCAGGACTTACCGGCTGGTACCTGATCAACCGGGCTGCTTCCGAGACGGGCTTATGGGTGACGCGGAGGATCCTGGCACCTGCTCATGGGATTCTTGGCCAATCTGAGCCCCGAGTTATCAACCAATCAGAATCTGACTCTTGTCAGGATGCGTTTATGCTGATGAATGGATAGATATGAGCTTGCATCTTCTTTGTATTCAACCTCGTAATCCTGAATCAGCCGGCTGAGTACTTGACATAATATGTTTCCCAGGCATCCACTAGCGTCTACATGGACGCTTGTGCCAAACAACCTTCCATAAAATGCGTCCCACGAAAAAGACATATCCGAAGGATTGTGGTCGTAAGTCCTTGCGCGTGACTGATTCGAGAGGGCAGACGAGCTGACGTCACTGTCAGGGAAAGCTTTGATCCAGAGTCCAGACTCCAGACATCTCTGCCATCTCTCTATCCTACCACACTGGTTCCATGGCTCCGTGTTTCATGATGGTGTAGGTAGCCTGAAGGGCTTGCGACAGTTGCTAGAAGAGCCAACACATGGTGCATTCGAAGGCGTTCGCAAGCATGGGCCATGCTTTGGAGCGATAGGATAATAAAGTGCGCTTTTTGAGATGCAAATCGGAGAGCTCGTGGCCAGCTGCGGGCTACCAGAATCCGTTCCAGGCATCCAGGATTCATTGTTGAAAGGCCGCCGGCCCAGCAGCTGTCTGAGCTTTGCCTGTTCTTGACGGCACCTCAACAGTCCAAATCAAGGCTGGTTGTCTGGAAAGTCGGTGCCAGAGAGTGCAAACAGACACTGGTCGGTTGGGCCATGCACTGTTCTGGCCCGCTCTTTGCTGCGGCAGAAACCTCAGACTTTGGGAGGAGTTTCTAAAGAGTCAGGCACCATGTTGAACTTGAAGGCCTTGGCACCTGGGCCGTCCCCAACCCGGACAGCTTTGCAGGAGCGCTTGGCATCGTCCAGTTTGTGCGAGACAACGGGCAGTGTCCGAAAAACTGGCTTCACATCGTTGGAGGCACATCTGAAGCCTAGAGTGCCCTGTGAACCGGGGACAGCCTGTCGGTGCAGTAGGTTTGTACAGCAGGTCATACAGAGTGAAACAGCAGAGAGGGGGGGGAGGATGAGCAGCGGGACTCCTCCCCCATACAGGATTAGGGCAAAGAGCAGGGGAGTGTACCATGAGGAGAAGTTGTCGAACAACACAATACATTTTTCGCCCTTGCCGGGCTCAGGGCCGCAGGTTTTGAGTAGAGAACCACTTGTACAAAATGTGAGCCCCTGAGTTCCTGATCGTATCTCTTTACGCCAGCGTCTCAATTTTGAACTTGACCTGTGGTAGCCTCAAACGAGGTTTGGCTCCCAAGGTTTTTGATTTCTATTCTATCATAGTTGTCCTTCAGATTGAGGGCCCGTCCAGCCTTGACAATGAAGGAATGCAGCTTATATGGTGTAGCAGTGGAGTAAATATGCACTACATGGAGACAATTGAGGGTTTCTACAGATAGCGTTTCTTGAGTCCTCGGTCTTGCCAATGCAAGGCAAGTCGGATGTAGCCAGCCTCTGATTACTTGTGAGCAGCTTGGATTCACCGCGCAATGCCTGCAAATAGAGGCGAGTGTGTGATCTGGCAGGAAGAGGAGACAGTTTCCGAAGCTAATCTATTCACCGGTTCTGTCTGAAGGTTGAGCTTCTGAGAGGGTAGGCTTCTGAGAGGGTCTTGAATTGGACATTGTCCTTTATTTGAAGGGGAGAGCATCTGGAAAACCTGGCAGAATCAACGTCTGCGCCGTGTCATCTCAAGTGGCAGAGTGTATGGTACCACAGTGAATTGGGTATCAGCTTTATCTCGAACGACCTGTGTAGATATTGCAATGGTCATGCACTCCGGCTGTGTAACTTGATCTGTTCAACTTGATCCGTTCATCGTGGCAGCAAGTAAAACCAGACTCTATGGTGGTTTTCCATTCAAGTTCTCACACTGATCTTTCTTTTCTGCAGCATGTTCCAATATACGTCATGCTACCTCTTGACACCGTCACTATTGTGAACACACTCAATCATGTGAAGGCCCTCAATGCGGGACTGCGTGCTTTGAAAAGCATTGGGGTTGCCGGCGTTATGGTCGATGTCTGGGTAAGCCTTCTGTTTTCTTTTCTATTCGCCCTTTTCTTTTGCTGGCGTCACTGTTCGAATTGCTCCTTATCTGCTCTTAGCTGCATTAGAAGCAGACTCATTTCCTGGCAGCATTCGATTTGGACTTGGAGCACATTTCTGGCAGTTCATCTTGGTGGCATGCAAATGTGAGGAGAAATCCTCAGCTGATCATTATAAGCCACGCAGTGCTCCAGATTGTTTGGCCCTTTGCAAAGAATATCCTCATCGTGCGTGCATACAAGAAGTATTGATTTCGCTCTTCAAATTTGGAGATGTTTGCAATGTTCTGGTTTGGCAATGCTGGTCCATTGTGGCGGACTGGTAGTGAAAGTTGGATCACTAGGGTTTGTCTGATCCCCTGGGTTCTGCTCTTCTCCCTGCTCAGCTGGATAGTGTATGCTTGGATATCACTCAACTCAAAGGGCATGGCGTTGAGCGGAACCGGTACTTGTTGTCATCAAGGAAAGTGGTTGCCCCCCGGCAGATCCTACTAACGCTAATCACCTTGTGGCAGCGCTAGTACATCCTTGTCCTTGTTCACATGTCCATCTTCATTGTTCGTCTAGACCAGTTAACAAGTCAGTCATTGTCTGGAGCTACCTTTACTTTGGGAGCACTTGCAGAAGGCGATATATCTCCCAGGCAGCCCCCTGCAGAGCCTTCCTCTCCCTTTTCAGAGACAAGTCTGCCAGGATGGCCTCTCTACCAATCAAGTCACTTATGTGATTGGTGAAGTGACCATCGTGCAGGACACAGAAGTCATGTGCACTGCAGCCTTTGCAGGACACTCTCAAGCCAAGATTAGCCCAGTCTCTCACACCAAATCTGGTTCCTTAACATTGTTGGCATTGTGCTTTCTGCAGTGGGGCATCGTGGAGGCGGACGGACCACGGCAGTACGACTGGTCAGCGTACATGGCGCTCATCAAGATGGTCCATTCCATGGGGCTCAAGGTCCAGGCAGTGATGTCATTCCACGCATGCGGCGGGAATGTTGGGGACTCGTGTCTAGTTAGCCTGCCCTACTGGGTGCTCCAGGTACAGCAAATCTCTCCTTTTGCTGAGCAGCCTGATTACTTATTCAGATTTATATCTAGATGCATTGCTGAAGATGAATTGCTCGAGACAAGAGAAACAGCCACCGAGGCCCTTCTGTTGCACATGACTCACGTCATGGTGTTGTGCTGCCTTCCATTGTTACCACTACGTTGGTTACTTTTGGCATGATTGAACAGTGCCTTAATTTCCAACTTTGCATTTTGCAGCAGATCAATCTACTGCACACTGCTTCTCGTAATAGGGGCCTCATTGTCATATCCACGTAAAGGAAAATGCTGCCAATCGGTTGAGGATCTCACATGGAGCTTCAGCCTCTGGGCAAAGCGCAACCTGACACCTTCTGGTTGACTGCATTTTATCAAGATCTTGACAGTGGCGCGTTATGCATGCACCGTTAGCTTCTTGGCATCTTTGTGTCCACAAAAGTGGACCTACTCTGATTCCTTCGTCTTTCTTCCTTTTGCAGGAGGCAGAGAAAAATCCAGAGGTTTTGTACACTGACCAGAATGGGAACCGCAACGGGGAGTACCTGTCGCTCGGGGTGGACTGCCTGCCGCTGTTTGAGGGGCGCAGCCCGGTTCAGATCTACCACGACTTCATGGAGAGCTTTCGGGACACCTTCCACCAGTACCTTGGGGACTGCATCGTGGTACGGTTCTATCTGCCAGGTCTCTGTATGGTCCATGTGTGCCTTGTTGTGTTTCCAAGTGGGAGTGGAACAAAGAATGTCCACTCTGCGGCCCTGCGTTTAAGCTCTTGGCCCCCAAACCTGGAATTGCAATCGTCCTCCCGTACTTCTAATCCCAGTGTGCAGTCTTCTGCCCTCTGCCTACTCTGGATCATGTATCAGGTCTGTTTCCGAGTCTCAGGCTGTTCCTAATTCAGGTTCACGATTTTCGTCCATCTTATGGTCCATCAGTGCAAAGCAGAGCGATCATCTCAAGTCGCCGTAGGACATCTGTGAGGTTGAGACGAAGCTTGCATTTGAATCGCCTGGTGTTTATGGACCGCGGCAGGGGTTCTATCCTATGCCATCTATCTGTTCAACAGCCCTCTGTCCTGGCCTTCAAGCATTTTGCTTCAGAAGCAAGACGCTGACACTCCAAGCTCGTGCGGCCCCGTATCAGGTCATTTCAGTCGTATGTTTTCCAAGTTTGCAAGATAGGCAGGGGACTGCGATCGATTCATCTACCATTTGAATAAACAGAAGCACCAGTTTGATCCACTTCTCCTTTTGAGTGAGTCAGACAGCGAAAGACCGCCCCATGTTATTACAGACTCAGTAAAAGCTACTGCATATGAGACCTGAGTTGACCTCGTTTTCTTCCACTCAAAAACAGGAAGTTGCCGTGGGCATGGGGCCCGCGGGCGAGCTGCGCTACCCGTCGTACCCGGAAGGCGACGGCCGGTGGCGCTTCCCCGGCATCGGCGAATTCCAGTGCTACGACAAGTACATGATGGCCAATCTGCGGGCGTGCGCGGCAGCAGTCGGGCGGCCCGAGTGGGGCCTGCGGGGCCCGCACAACTCCGGGAACTACAACAACTGGCCGGACGAGACGGGGTTCTTCAACCAGCACAGCGGGGCGTATATGAACGAGTACGGGGACTTTTTCCTGTCGTGGTACGCAGAGAATCTTGCGGCGCACGGGGATAGGGTTTTGGGGGCGGCCGCGGCGGTGTTTCAGGGGACGGGGGTCGTTTTGGCGGGGAAATTGGCGGGGGTGCATTGGTGGAACCGGCACCCGTCGCATGCGGCAGAGCTCACGGCGGGGTACTACAGCTGTCGGGGGAAGAACCTGGTCCGGAAGGAGGGGTACGAGCGGATCGTGCGCGTGTTCGCGAAGCACGAGGCGGTGCTCAACTTCACTTGCGTCGAGATGGCCGACAACGAGCAGCCGCCCGAGGCGATGTGCAGCCCCGAGCGGCTTCTGCTGAAGGTGCGGCAAACGGCGGCGCGGTACGGGGTTCCGGTTTCGGGGGAGAACGCGTTGCCGCGGTACGACTTGTCGGCGCACCGGATGATCAAGCACAACGTGCACAGGAAGGATATGCGGAACCTGCCGCGGATGGTTGCGTTTACGTTCTTGCGAATGGGGGAGAGCTTGTTCCAGACGGATCATTGGCGGCTGTTTGTCGAGTTTGTGCGAAACATGGACAAGAGGGAGTTGTTGGAAGACCCGAAAAAGCCCCGAAAGGAGGGGCAGCATGGGGTGCCGCACAGTGTGGACGTTCGCAAGAATACCCAAGTGCTGCAAATGCAATTGTAGGTTTTGTAGTTGCGGCCAGCACATTGTTAGAAGGCTGACTCTCGGGTTACCCGAGGTATGTAGAACAGTAGAGTTTCGCGCTGAAGTTCCTTGCTTAGCAAGTTCGGGGATGGAGGCAAGTGCGCTGCATTAGCATTGAACTGGAAAGTGTTTTGCAAGAAGCCAGAGTAGCTCTGGATGAATCTAGATTGGGCCAGTGTTTATACTGTAAGCTTCAGTGGAATCAAAGTGATGGAGCAGCCAATTTGAATTTAGGTTAGAAGAAGGGGTTTGCAGAACAGGACTGGGAAAGGTACATGTAGCACAGGAAGCTTGAAAGTCGGTCGGAGATCACAGTTCATTCAGTGCATACAATCATTGGTTAAGTGACAAATAAACGATTTAAGAAATGCCGTGACCAGGTTTCGTATCAGGCTTGTCAAGGAACAGCATCAAAGATCATATATACTGCATGAAAGAATTCAGCTGTGGACTCATGAAGGCGTTATGTGCAATGCGTCTCAGCTCATGGTCCCGGCGCGGTTTGAAGTTGGTGAGACGATCCTCGTATTGGATCTGGCCACAGTGCAATGACAGTAGTTAATTCGAGTCTATCAGGATAACTTGTTCGAATGAAGAAGACATATCATATATGTTGAGCACCATGCATGGCATGCATATGGGCCCGGCCCTCCATCCTTTTGCATGCGCGTATGCTTAATTAATACATGGTATGCATGATTAGTATGTGCTCGATCGATTGTGCTTGTATAATTGCACAGAAAGCTGTTAATGGATACGTATCTGCCAGGCTTGAGGCTCGCGGTGAATTAGTGCTCGCATGCAAATCGTATTTGCAGGATGCATGGGATCCGGTGATATGCATTTTTTGTCGTCGGACCAATCCAGGTTAAATGACGATACTCTCCTTCTCGCAACCCGAATCATTCAGTCTGCATTCTTTTCTACGGGGAATGCATTTTGCGATCAACGGCGGCCCAGAATTTTGCATTTAGCAGCCGTCCTTCAGAAGCGGATGTACATGCTGCATGTCAGACTGTTCTTCTCGGTTTCGGAGCCCGGCTGCTACTATTCTGCGCTAAAAATGGCATGCGAGGATCGCTGCATGGCGTTGTCGGATGCAGTACTTCAATATTTGAACAACAACGCGAGCAACGACATACCTTGACGACTGACGGCCTGTCAGTACGCTCACTTTCCCACTTGTGCGCACATCTTGACGGCCGGGCAAATTGCAAACACTTTCCAGAAGCACTGAGGCCCTGCTACTGAGCAAGTAGTCCGGGAGAAGTAGTCCGGGACATTGAACTTTATTCTCGTCGTTGCAGCCTGCACTAATCGATGCCAAGTCCCAGAGCAGCGTCGTCAACACACATGAGCAAGACCTCGTCTTGCCGGCTCTTCCTTCCAATCTCCATGCACTAGCGTATAAGAATAGTTGGAGCGGCAAGTGCAGCGAATAAATCACTCAATGTGGAAAGCTGACGCAGTTTCTGCGCCCTTCCCGATTGCGTGCTTGATGACGACATCCATGAGCCGGTGGTTCGTTTTGGACCGCGTCATGAGTATGCTGCCGTGCACAACGTCGTTGTCGCGCACGTGGAGGGGGGGATGCAAAAGAAACACCTGCAGGCAGAGCGGGGCCAGTTTTGGGTAAGCCGTCTGGGGAACGCCACAAAATGTTGGAGCCGGCATGGTGACGGGTCATGAGATAGCAGCAGCGAGTGCGGGCCACGTCGGCAAGATGGCCAAGTTGTTACCAAAAGCAGCACGACGTCGTACACGCAATCAACTTTTTGCAGAAGCGCTACGGGTGACCACAGCGGCAAAGAGCCCCCAAGAATGAATCGCTTGCAACAATGCATATGCCGCACTAGGTCGGGTTCGAGAACCCAACGCATGGAGCGAAACGCTCTTGCAGACGAACGGCTTTTGCAGACAATTCTTCAACGTTCGCATACCATTCAAGCATCTCCATCTGACCTCTCAGACGCGCGGAACTGCAGAATACAGTCTTGCAGACACAAAAGAACCGGCGCCGACAAGCTCGGCTGCGTACTGAGAACGCTGCCATTAACCAGAGAACAAGTCGAAGTAAATTGAATGGCCTCACTTGTTGGCCCCAGTGGGTTGTGTCATTTATGCTGGGAGCAGTCGTCAGCTCCACCGTTTCGTCCGCTGCTTGACTAGGGGACCCCTGAAGAAGGCGAACAAGTGAATTAGTCTCAGACTGTAGCGGACCTTTCGGATAACGACACGGCAGGATTGCGGGATATCCTTGAGAAAGACCTCTTTGGATGCTCGATCGAGTATTGTTGAATCACGATTCTTAAAGAACCACGAACTTTCTGACCAACATATGCTCGCAATCCATTGAACAACAACAGCTGGCTGCTCTCTGACCAATCATTCGGAATTTGGTCAGCCTTGCGTTGTCGACGCGTAATGAAAGCAAGGTGATCTGACGTGGGCACGTGGCAGGTGAAGCCCCCACTTCAAATTCTGTCCATGGAGCATCGGCGCCTGGCACCCTCAAACGTACCAGTACAACAAGAAGCCTTCGTAAGGAAGCAATCATTCTGCAACGAACCACCAAGGTCTCTTGGACAGGAGAGCTGCACGACAGGACACGACCAAAAAAGGCCATACCCCGTCAGAGTGAGCGTCCACAGGGGCCAGAAGCGCCCCCTCTCTGATCCTGCCTTCTTCCTTTGACCACAGCCCGTTTCTCGTGAACCAACGGCCTAGTATTTAAGTGCACCTCTTACATACTGATCCAAAGAAACGCCGCGGAGTCCAGACTTGCCTGAAACCGGACGTCGAACCAGCCCGCGAAGCCCGAGACCCTGGTCTCGCCGTCGAAGACTGGCAGCTGGAAGTTGGCGGAGACGGCCTTGACGTCATCCAACGTCACGGTCAGGCAGTCGATCTCTTTGACGAGGGCGGGCTGGCCAACCACCTGGCTGGGGTACAGGCTCTGCCAAAGTGACGTCTGCAGAGGAAGTGGGAGAGAGCGTTGGATTACCGAATATTGAGTCCTTGACTGGAGAAAAGGCTGGCTACGAAATCATACAAAGATTCGATAGAAAATCCGGGGGACGGTTTATCCGATTTGGAGTCCTCGACTGGGGAAAGGATTGGCTGCGTATTCATACAAAGATCCGGTAGAATACCCCGAGAGCTCAGCATGGAATTCAACGCGTGAAAAGCAGTGAGCGGGAATGATCCGCAGTGTCAGAAAACGTTGACGGGCTGTCAGTATTGTCAGGTCATGTGAGACGAAAAGGGGTGCAAACGAGAGAGCGACTGAAAGACCGGACTTGGTGTCGAGCTGCCAAAATGCATCGAATTCTACTCAGCCTTCTGATGTCCCGGCGTTACAAACCCTGCGGATCTGATCCGAGCTTTCAACCAGACCAGGCTTCTTCGATCCTCCAACATGATCCCGGTGGGGAGGCGTCTGCTGGTTTCAAAAACTCGAGATACATACTTTAACCACGCTACCAGATTTTTGGAGAGCCTCCATTTAATCCTAGCCCGTGACTGAACCCCCACCTGCAGGAAGTACTTGACCTGCTCCTCCCGGTACGAGTTGGACAGCGTGCTCATATCAACCCCGAACGCGTGCCGCGTGTTTTGCGTGAAGTGCACCCAGTCGTTCATGCTCGCCTCGTAATCCTGCATCTTGTGCTCGCCCATGCCGCTCTTGATGGGCGCCAACCACATGCGCGCGTGGCTCGGGTACCTGCGAAAGCGGGGAACGAAACGAGTTGTCAAGACTCGTTGACAGAGTGTTTCGAGCAGATGCTTTTCGCCTCGTGCTCGAGGAAGGCGCGCAATGGTGGAACGGAACGAACTGCCGAGAAAGCGTCTTTTGAACTACAACAAGCTCCGCATCTCAGCTCGTTGCGAAGGGTTGACGGAGCGGTTGCCACAAGTCTCCCGAAAGTAACGGGAAACATTTGTGAGTGGTTCCTACGTGTTCCAAACAATATTCCGTTCTGATCTTATCCCCCAAGCTGTAGTGCTCCTGTGCCGTTTCTTTTGGATGCTCGGGAGGTCAAGGCTTGCTCCAAGGGAAACGAGAAAGGAAGGAAGGTTGCATCTTTAGGGGGTGTGAAAACGCTCACATTGCCCCCCCCGGCTTGAGCCACTTATCGCGTGCGACGAGAACTGAGTCCAGCATGGATTCGCGCAGCAGGAAGTAGCCCATCCACTCGGAGATGATGATGTCGACTGGTGAGCCAAGCAAGGGAGCAGCGGGTTACGGCACTGGCCACACACAGCAGTAGGGCGCGCAGGGTCAACACCAGTGTCAACAGGAACACAGAATCGCAGAAGCTGGGCTTCGCCTGATCTCTAAGGCTTGGGTTCTTGGATGATGAAGACCGAAGCGTGACTATTTCTAAGTCGAAGGTGGGTGCCATGCAAAACCGTTTTTGGAGCGATTCAAAAGTGGTGTGCCTTTCTTGAGCAAGTGAGGAGGGAGTAATCTTGAAACGTCACATGACAAGAACAGCTGGCAGTGTAAGGACTCACTACACGCAGCTTCTCCAGGTTTGACTAGGCAGCGACGGTGGACTGAATAGATCAGTACTCCGCATCTGCGATCACGCCTCCAATATTTGTAGCTGCAACTAACGCATCCGTGAAACACGCCATCCCCCTTATCATTACTGCTTCTTTCTCTTCTCTGCTTTGCAAGCTCACCTTTCTCTGGCAGGTCAATCTCCTCTACCGACCCCTGAATAACCTCCACGATGTGATCCATCTTGTTTGCGGCCACCAGCTTGGCGGCGTGCTTCGCCATGTCTGTGTATTCAACCGCGTACACTCGCCGCGCGCCTGCCTGGGCAGCCCAGATGGCGAGGATCCCGCTGCCAGTACCAACGTCCAGCACAACCTGCGTACAAGGTTTCAGATTACTTTCTGTATTATCTCTGCTAGAAGCAACTCCCAGAACGGCCAGCGCAGACATACCCAGAAATACGAATCTGATTGGTGAAGGAGCAAAGCTGATGTCGACTTCACTGCCTGCGAGAATTCTCTACGTCAACGCCCAATGAACAAATTAAAGGGCAGCTGTCAGTGCTACTCGCTGATCTTTGAATCTTGTGCTTGGAATTTAGATTTGGGCGTCAGATCTTAAGAGCACAGGCCCAACACATTGTCAACTCGCCCACGAAGCTGCAAGCAAGTATCATACCAACTTTCTTGCCCAACAAGGTTCTTGAAGTGGAAAGTGGCCAGGCACTACGGCCAAGAACTGTTGTTCAAGGGGTTTGAGAAGGGGTCTTTAATCAACCACTGGTATTCTCCAACCAAGACAAGCGGCGCCCAAACTGACCTTTCCTTGAAAGTGATGGGCGTTTTTAAACACTGAGTTGTAGTACGCTTCCATCCGGACGCGGTCGGAGAGCCTGGAAAGATAACAATTTACCATCGGTACAGATCTTGATAAATGACGGCAGCAGGGGGAATAGCCACTAACAAGCAACAGTGACACTGCACAAACCTTTGATAGTCAAAAGGGGTGGTGCAAGTTGAAGCAATGCGCAGTCTGGTTCACCAGCGTGACACAAGAGGCCTGCCTTGGGGCAGATTGACGTGACAGACGAAGGAGCGAATGGAGCTCACATTTCTTTCTGATGGTAGAGGAACGCATATGTGCCTGCACGGAAAAGAAAACAACCGCCCCATCTCTATTTAGTTTCTGCTCAACTGATCACAAGGCGGCAAACCCAAGCTGAGCAAAAAAATGGAAGATCTTCCTATTTACCTTTTACAGAACGCATTCCAGAAGGACGCAATGCATTCGCTTATTGGAGCTGAAAGATAGATCCGCACAAGAAAGAGAAGTGAGATCAGAAGCGCCAGCAGCTTGTCAGCAGGGGTGGTGCGCATTCACACGGGTAGTGTCGCCACTCACAAAAATAGTTGGCAAAGTCAGCTGCCTTGTCGTTCTTTTCAGTCCCGTTCATGGTCGCTCTCTCGGGAGAGGGAGCCGCCCTCATCGGGCCCCTGCCTGCCATAATTTTTTCCGCTCCAACACTTTCCGCCGTGAATACGGCCCTCTGAACAGTGTCCGCTACAGAAAAGTGGTCGTTAGTGCAATGGAGGCGCTTTTGCCAAGGACCATTACCGTCAGGGTGAATCGCGGTTCGCCTCAGAACAATGTGCGAGCCCGCCGAACAACTCAGAGACGGTGCTTGAGCAGTCCTCTTTGCAATGCAGGCTGTAGATCTCAGGACGGCAGAGAAAGCAGAGTTGCTGAGGCTCAGGGCTGTCATTCCATTGCACCAACCAAACAGGCACTCGAGATCCCGCACGACACTTGAATCAAAACAAGAGCTCAAGGGTCATGGGAGCACTCCCAAGGTCCAGGATATTGCAGCTCGTTCCTCCCTTGAAGGCCGTCTTCCTTCACTTTCCGATTTTCTAGCCTGCTGATCAGCTCAAAGCCTTTGGCTAGCTGACCCCTGATCTTTGAAGTCAAACTGCCTAGCCTAGGACTAGCTACCTAGAGCCACAGCCTTTATAAGCTAGGTCGCCAGCTACCGTAGTGGCACGGACAATTCGCGCCAGGCTCTTACGAAAATTATTTTATTTCAGTTCCTGGTTTCGCACCAGGGTTTTGAGGAATATTAAATTTTCGCAGTAGCCAAGATTAACAGTGTTTTAGGCCCTTTTTTGCGTGTTTTTAGGCTTCATTTGATTTATTTTGGTTCCGCACTTTCGCACCAATCTTAAAATAATTTCCGAAAATTTTCGCACGAAGGCCTGACGATTATTTTTGGTGCGACTTTATTGTCCGTGCCACTACGGTAGGTATGGCGCCAGCATGATGGCTGGCCGCCGATCTGCAGCTTCACACGTGGGACGCGATTCTCGGGATCTTCAGATCTGCCAAATACGCAATCAAAAAAGGCTCTGATTGGTTGGGTTCTCAAAGAAGATCGCTTCTTTCAGGGTGCAAGCTAGCGGATGCCAGCAAGGAAGAAGATCCAAGTCATGCAGCATCCGACTCGTGCCAGCTTCTCTTTGTCACGACTCCATCGTGCGCACCTAACCTTATCCGATCTCGCAGGAAGGAAAGTAGGTACCCAGTATAACGGTAGTTCAGTTCGAAGCACAATCTGTGAAGCCTTTCGTCTTGCTCGCGATCCCTCCCCTCTGTCCGGATTGAAATTTGCGCTGCTTCTCAATCTCAAAATGGCGCCCCTCAAGGTTGGCGATAAGCTCCCCGATGGCACCGTCAAGGGCCTGGACATGAAGGATATCTCCATCAAGGAGCTGACCAGCGGCAAGAAGGTCATTATCTTTGGGGTCCCTGGTAAGCACATGCATGTCTCTTTGAGGACCTATCCTCCATGCAGACCTACAATTGTGGCAGCATGCTCAGCTATGAGGTGTGAGGTTGGGCAGCAACTGGTCTTTTCTAGCGCCACAGCGAGCATGGATTGGCTGTTCTTGATCTGTCTCATCAATCTGGCGTGTCCGCTCTTGCACCAATTGAGATTGATGCTATGAAGATTGTTTAGGACAGCATATGTCAGCTTGTGTGTTGAATGCATTGGAACCTATTGAGGAAACATGAGGGGTCATATGGTGGAAATGAGCTGCGGACATGACTCCCTGAGATTCTTGCTAGGAGTGGATTAGTACGGTCTTTGCGGTTTTGCATTGCTGAAAGAGACTCTGGGGTGCAAATGGTATGTAAGCATTTCAATCTGCAATTGTCATCGGGCTTTCAACCCGTGCAGCTGAAATACAGTATGTTTGGAGAGCTTAAAACAACTTTCTGAACGTTGATATTTTCCAGGGCTGACATGTAGTATGCCTAAATTGAGTCGGCGGTGTTGATTTTTCTCAGAGTAAGTTGTTCAATTTGTTTGGCTGCTTTTAGGGAAACTCCAATTTTCTGCCTTTAAGTGAACCATGCTTCTCCTTGCATGGAAATGGATCATGTTTGTGCTGGAGTAAGGCAAAGGACTGTCAGAATATGATGGAAGAGTGGTTCTCGATCAGGCTCCTCCGGCCTGCCATGTACCTCTTGAAACTCTACCCCTTCTCGCCAATTTCAGGTTCGCTCGAGGACCTCGTGAGAATTCTGTTCTTGGAGCTGGAGTTTCTCCAATCTCTTGTTGCAATTTGATAGGGCGCAATTCACATCGGGTTTCTGGTCACCGGTGGTGCGTTGGAAGCAGTTATATGTTTCTGTCTTCAGGGAATCTTACCAACCTCTATTCAAACAAACCTTGTCAACCTCTATCCAAGTAAACCTTGCCCTTGTGCATGAAACGGACCTGCGTAGAACCCTTGAAATTGAGTTATAAAATTGACAGTTGTGGGTTTCGCACCGCCAGACCTACCGTGCGTGTCTCGAAATCTGCTGGCCCCCTCCATCAGTCTGAAGTCTGTTTGAGGACCTTTTGAAAAGCCGCCGTTGTGTCCTAACCTACTGGAGGTGGGTGAGAAGTGGCTACAACTGTCACGACCATATGCGCAGGTGCGTTCACTCCGGTCTGCTCGAGTCAGCACCTGCCGGGATACATCAAGAAGCACGACGAGATCAAGTCCAAGGGCGTTGACACGATTGCAATTCTGGCCCCCAACGACCCCTTTGTGATGAAGGCTTGGGCTGAGCAGTACCCAGACTCCGAGGGCAAAATCCTGTACCTGGCTGACGGCACCATGGACTACACAAAGAAGCTGGGTTTTGAGGTGGACCTTTCAGGCCATGGTCTGGGTGTTAGGCTGCGTAGGTTCTCGTTGCTCGCGGAAGATGGGGTTGTCAAGGAGCTGAACTTGGAGGAGAGCGGAGGCCTCACCACCAGCGGCGCCGACGAGATGTGCACGATGTTGCCAATGGCGGGCCAGTAGAATCTGGGTCGTTTGAGTCTTGTTCTGATCACTGCTGCAGAAAAAACACGTACTGTTTGACAGCGACTTCTGTATTTTAGCGTCAAAGATTTTTTAGTTTGTGCTGAAACACTGGTAGGCAAGACTTGCATCCACTTCCAGCGATTTGTGTCTGTGACGATGGTCTGCTCAAGTGTTCATACGATCAGTGATTGCATAACCTTGGCAACTCATAACACATAAACTGATTTGCGTGTTAGTTGCTGATGATGGTGCCGCCGATTGTTGCATGGGCATCCAAGGTTATCAATCAAATCGTACCGGCATGCAAGCATGGCCCAAGCCCCTCAGGCTTCGGGTCATTGAACTTGCCTGGTTATTGCACGGAATGTGGATGTTGAACCGTGTTTGAGCTGCCTGCCATGGAGTCCAATATGGCTAGCATGCGAGCTGTGCGCACTAGGCAATCATATAGTTCTGATCGAACCAATCTGTAGCTAGTGAATGTACGTAGAAGAAACGTACCAGGATTACAATGCTTACATATGTTGCTCAATGACGCCAGCACATGTAGGAATATACATGCAAACCGCCGATTAGACCTAGGCCCGGGTGCAGCAATTAATGGGCAGCTGCGCATGAGCCAATTAGACAAGTTGCGTCTCTCATGATCATGCGGATCGATTCGCTTAGTTGCACATGTCACTGAGTCAATGCATGGGCCAATTCACAACCTTCAGATCTATATGCTGATCATATCGAGGCATGCTAGGCAAACTGTACAGTATGGCTTGAAACTCCGATAAAGTTGGATCGAGTTTGGTCATGAAACTCATTTGCAAGTAATTGACTTGGCCAGCATTTGAGGCCACCAGCTGCACAAGCACTGAGCTAGCATGCTCTGTTTGCTCGAGATACATATTGCGCTCGATCGATTGGTGACTTGCAAGTGTCCTATCAGAAATGCATCTTGTTTGCATGGATGCACCACACATGACAAACGCTCCAACGAAAAGTGCACACGCAGCTGGGCGGGCAATGCTTGTGGTGTGCTTGTCTGATGTTTTTCGATGTGGCAAGGATTCTCCAATGACTCCTCGAAGGTCCTCGAAGGTGCAAAGTAGCTTTTGCGCGTCGAGCATGATAGAAGTGAGTCACGACACTCGGGTTCCAATAAGAAAAAGTGTGCTTAGATACACATAGTGCAGCGCCATATGCTGCAAGGAGTAGTTGTCTGACAAACCAAACTCTTCGAAGAGGGGATCCACGACCACAAACTTTCCCAGCAAAGACTTGCTCTTGAGCGACTCGTCCCAAACGGCGAAAAATTCCGTGAGCATCGGAACCGCCTGCGCAGATGATTGCGTGGGCAAGTACTCGACCTGCACGGAACGACAAACCTCTTATGAGAGGTGATAGAGGTGAAGGAGTTCCTTCCCTTAATCCAATAGAAGCTCATTGCGTCTGGTTGTGATCTTTGGCTTGAAGATCCCCAATCAAGAATCAGAGCGCCGTCAATGCAGACGCGCCCAAACATACGATGGTATTGATGCTTACAACCCAAAAAGAGGGCCCACACAGCGGACACAAAAAGCTTCTTATTGCAAGATGATGTTGCGCGACAGGCAGTAACAAGGTCCTCAACGTGTGCCTCTTTCATGGAACAGCCGCTTATCTCACCTCCAGAGTAATTCCGCGAAGCTGTTCATTGATAGAGAAGACCGCTCGCCCCAGCCGCAACCGGAAGTCGCCCATCTCATAAACTCGGCCCTGTATTGAAGAGTGAGGAAAGGGTTTCAAACACAATCGCACTCTTCCGAGCAGAGTGAGCGCACCCGCTCATTCCTTCGAAACGGACAACGTCAATTCATTTCGAAACGGCTTCGCTGAAAGACGGGTTCGACGGTGAATACAAAATATCTTTATGCCCCCAACCACTTTTTCCTTGCTGTTCCTTCCTTGCCTTTACCCTGTGAAATAATTCGGCAACACCTTGAGAGACTGTGCCCCCAAACCTGTTTCCCTACTGTTCCTTCCTTGCCTTCAACCTGTGAAATAATTCCACAGCACCTTGAACGCCTTCTCATTCTCGAAAATTCTCGAAACATCTAAAGCATCACCGTTCCTCACCTCGAAGGTCACTGCCGTCCGTTGCTTGTACAGCTGCACCTTGTCCAGGATTGCTAGCAGCGACGCGTCCGCTACTAGCACCTGCTTCTCCTGCACATCAACCGTCGGCTTTCAAACACCAGCGGCAAAATTTACAGCACGGTTGCCGTAAGGTTGTTGTAGTAGATGGCGACTCTCACGCCCATGAGCAGCGGGGGGTGGGCAAGCTCAACAGGGACGGCCCCTGTGAGGAGGTTGTCGCTCGTGGTTTACATGATCACGCTTGAAACTTCTCCCCAGTTCAGGGGGGATGGGGCCAGTCCGCGAGTTGCGGGCCAGGTGGAGCTCCTGGGTTTCCGAGCTCTGTGAAAATGGCCCCCGTGAGGGAGCAGCCATACCGACCGAGAATCGCGAGTTTTTAAAGTGCTCTCTGATCCGACACGTGTGTAGAGACCTCATCTTCGTGCAGATCACAAGTCGATGTCCAATAGTCACTCTCGCCTCGTGAAATTCTTTGACAGGGTTCTCCAGAGGTGCTTGAGCGGTTCTTGAGGGCTAAGACGGGTTGGCTTGTGTCGAGGAAGAACGTACTCATACCGACAACCAGAGATGTGCTCCGGTCGACATCCTTGTGTTAAACTGAAAGTCGTCCTATAATGAATGATGAGATGCAGGCCTCATGGGACTTATTACGTGTGACTCTCAGAAACTTCTATTGAGCCGAAGCCTTTTGGTCATGAAACTCTCTAGGGAAAGCGTCTTCCTATGCAGAAACAAGATCACCCAAAGTCAGACGCTGTTCCGTGTTCAAGCAGGCGCACGCACAGCTAGACAACTGTCAGCCGAAGCCTGCTGAAATCCGTGATTTCTCAAAGCATCATGCTCTGGGTCGGGCATGGAATCTAGGAATGGAAGAACATTGGTTTGGAGAAGGTCTGGGTTAGCTCGATTGAAAGTTGCCTGCTCAAATCAAGTGAATCACACTCGAACTACAGGGCATAAGTGAGTGTAGTCAAGAAAGAAAGCCGTGCTTACCTGCCTAACCACCAGCCACAGTTTCTCGGGATGCTCCGTCCCTGTTATCATGAAGAGATCTCGCACAGCGGCTGGCTCCCCACCTTTGGCCTCTGCAATATAACTCATGAATGTGACCCAAACGTGATGGGGAGAACTTCACTGTGACACACGCAGAAGTGAACTGGAGTAGGAGTAGGCAATCTGAGAATAACATACTTGACAGAGGCAAGCAGGGGGAGATCCTGTGAGCAGGTCCACCAAGCCTCGACGCGCGCCACGTTTTGCACAATTCCTTTTCGGGGAAAGTTATATCGCAAACATCGCATAGGCGCCACCGAAATTCATGTTTTCAAGGGTGATAAGCAAGGAGCCTAGCGAAGTCATCAATCAGCAGTCCTGGTCTGCCCTTGTGACAGTTTCGACTTGACAAAAATACACAGGCGATGAGGATTGCATTGTCGGGGCTCATCAGCAGTGCTTGATTCGATGAGATTCTAGTATCTCGATGGTTTCAAGAGCGTCAAACACGTCCTCGCACTTCATGTTTCCTGATATTCAGACATACAATCTACACTTTCCATGTCGTCCATGTTGTCCACTCCACCTGGAAAGCTTGAAATGTTTACAACAGGCCGCAGTTGATGCCGGGAAGTTTGACAAAACGGTGTGTGCCTCATCCCGGTGCCTCATCCATCCTCCTACTGAGTGGAAACTTGAAGATCGTCACTTCACCTCGCACAATTGGCCGGTAGAGTGTACTCGTCAGCTGCCACCGGCCGCCCTGCTGCGCCCCAATTGCCTCTGCGTTTGCCAGAATCTCCTCAAACATGGGCGTGGTCAGTGGGAGGCTCGTCGGGGGTTGCCATCGTAGGAGCCTGCCAGAAAGAGTGCAAAAGCATGTGTGCATATTGGGTCCGCACGACTGGAGACTTTTAAATTGATTCAGTTCAATCTGTTCATGTTCTATACATTAAAATTGTGTCGTGTGACAGTCCTAGCTTTAGAACCACGTGGCGTGCGATGGTGTTCCTTTCCTTCTCCGCCTTCACCACTGCCATAACTTAGGAAAGGAGCACTCTTCAAAAACATACAAAACTCCGGTTTGGGCAAACAGATCAGTTTAATCACAAGCTGTACTTTTGTAGTGCCCGTCCGACTGAAAATTTCCAGATTCTTGATTTTAATTGGACTTGAGCCCGTACCGCACATCCAACGTCCGTTCAACCCCTCGTTGCGAACGAAGCTGCCTGCAAAGTGAAATCCAATTTTCGATACGCGACAGCTGAAAAGCCAGAGTTGACTGACTCACCACTTCACCCCCATCTTCGAACCCACTTGAGGAAGCTCGAGAAGGCTCAAGCCGAGAGTGCACCAAGACACCTTTGCAGTATGCTCACTTTTTAAGTGACGAAGGTAAGCATAGCTCTTTAGCGTCCTTTATTGCGCCACTGCAGTGAACAAACAGCGATGCATCCAGCTCCCTGTTGGCGGTCAGCCGTTCCATCAACTAAAAGGAGTGGCACAGCTTCAATGGATCTTCAGAGCCCATCGGAACTGCACATCGTGGCAGGTTCAAATTGCTCCTCACGCAAGCTTGACGTACAAACTTCCTGGACCTCATAGTTCACTGAGGATGCTGGACTGTGGACAATGCGAGCCTGATGCTGGAAAATGCCACCATGTTGGCATTGGTCATGCAGGGCTCGTGTGTGTGGGTGAGTGTGCGCGCGTGCAACAGAAGTGATCGGCGCCGGCCTTTCCTGCATTAACTTGTGCCCTCGTTCTAGTTTGCAGTGAAAGTGCTATGCGCAACTGATGACCTCAGCATACCGGCCGGTACTCACCGTTGGTATCCAGAATCCCGGCGCAGATTGTCAAAAGACCAAACCCTAATGTGACCGTGACGTCACAGGAGGCTCAGCTTTCAGTGCCAGTTGGCTGAGGGCTCTCGCGAGCAGCCCAATGCGAGCAGGACCTGAGCAGGAAAGCAGGAGGAAAGCGCCTTTTCTGTCTATTGTTTATGTATCATTATGTTAAATGCTTGCCTCCTTTCATCAGGCGTTGGCGCACTCTTTAAGTAGGTAGATACATCTGCAACCTTCACATTCGTTGCATTCCGCAAGCTTATGCCATGACTGCTGAGGTGATCGGTTCTAAGGCGCGCTGATCCGCCCTTCTTGAAAGCTTGCCAACCAGGCGACTGCTAAGCCAAGCAAGCCTGAAATGGCTGCACAACTCCCAGGGTCGGTGGACTCCCCAACATCCAGCTCCCAAACGCAGCCCCTGGAAAGAGAATACCTGACGACGCTGCAAGAAGCGAGCCGGGCCCTATTCTCCCAGGCCCCGCAGGCAAGCGGGCTGCGCAACCAGGCAAAACTCTCACTGACATCATCGACGCTCGGGTCTGATGGCCGCCCGAGCCCCCTCACAGCGTTGCAGCAGCAGCAGCAGAATGAGGCGTTTCCAGAACAGTACTTGGCGCCCGTCCAGGGCAGGGGTTTGGACTTGTCAAGGAGCACGCTCGGGGTGAGTGCCGCAGAAGCTTTTCACAGATCAACATCCGAACCACCTGTCAAAGTTTGTGATGTATGAGTTGATAGTGAGTTGGGGCAACTGATCTGGGAATGTGGAGTTGTTTCAGGCACTGTTGCTAAGAAGCTCCACCTGAAAAAGGCGCCTGGATTGTGCGCTCTTTGTCAGACATCTACATGATGACTTTGTGTGAATACGCCTCACTCAGCAACGGTGAAGGTAGTGGTTTGTTGACAGAGCAGGCTTGAAGTTTACCAATATGCCTCAAAGCGCCCACAGATGGGAAGGCCTCCTGCTGCACAGTAGAGATTTTGGCTATCAGCAAGCATTTGAAGGAAGGTGCATATTAACTCCAAGATTGATTCCTTCCATTGCACACAGCTACCACTCAAGTGTTTTCAGCTACCACTCAAGTGTTTGGCATCATCAGAGTCTTCAAAGAGACACTTGACACTTTGCTACTAGGATCAGGGGATGTCAGTTCTTGACACCGTTGACAACAGCTCAACCTATTTTTCTTTCTGGGAAGATCATATACTGCTGGGGCCATCTCAGTTGTATAAGCAGCCTGTAGACAATCAAGGACACAGATGTCATATTGCCCTGCTTAAGAAAAGCTCACCACAGCTTCCTCCTGTCCTAAAAGCAACACTTTCGGATGCCCTCTGGATCTTTCTCGATGTTCCCTGACTCTTTCACATGAATGGCATGCACCTCAACGCCCGCTTTCTGATGAGTGCTCCCTCGTTGTCACAGCAAACGGAGAGAGACGCTCTCGTTGACGCCGTTTTGAAGTACCAGGAGCTGTTGGTGCGCCTGGGCCACGCACAGGAAGCGCAGGCCATCTCGTCATCCCTTGTGGCTGCCAGGCGCGCGCAGCGCAGGCTGAGGTACTGTCTTGTATAAATGTTTGCCAAAGCGCGTCACTTTGTACCAGATTTGCTCAGCCTTGATCTTGTGCTTTCCAAGGTACTGACATGCAAAGAGTATCTGCATTGAACATAGTAGTTGTTTAAGGTGTTGGCTTGTGTATGTCGGTGTTCCCATCAGAACCTCATAGGGCTTACCAAAGAGGAAGTCATCATAACATCAAGACGTTGGGCGTCGTTCAGCCCTTTCATTCCCAACAAAACTGAACTCGTGTCTTATGCATCTTGAGCTCCTTCTGGGGTGCCAAAGACGACCTCTAAATTGCAGGTACTTTTGTAGACCCTGCTCGCTGTCACGTCACAAACTTCTTCAAGACAACCACTCTCAATATGTGCAGTTTTCGCCCCAGTTCCCTGGTTGCTCCGTTGGACGACTCTGCGACCGGGCTCGACATCCTCCTCAAGGACGGTTTCCTTGCGTTCCTGCAACGGCTCACACCGCACCTGCCACCCGTGCCACAGCAGGTGCGGCATCACCTGAAAGTTGTGCGGTCTGAGATCCTTCAGATTCCGGTCTCGAAGTTTGGCTTTCTTCCATGGAAGTCGTAGTTCTGTGTACTGGTCCTCGAGGGGGCATTTAAAAAGCAAAAATGTCCACGAAGACACCATGTCGTGAGTCGGATTGATTTGTGTCAACCGTAAGTTGGTCAGGGTGCTATGTATGGAGACGCACTTTCAGTTTGGGAAGTTTGTACTCACGGTTGAGAAGGTTGTCTACAAGCCATAATGGTTCTGATTTGCAAGACTGAAACTTTCGAGAGCCTTGGTCGAAGTGGTCGAAGTGGTCCATTCCCCTGCATCACGAACGTGCTGACTTTTTCCTCTCGTTTTTGTGTCATCCAAGCACAGCCTATGAGCGTTGCTTTCTTATCCAACTTTACCTCGGTTGACGCTCAATTGTTTTCGGAGACGTTTGCAACACTTCTTCGTCGCCGAAAATCTGCCACTACGTGGATTCGGCAGACTGAAAAGCGTCGCTGACTGAGTCTTTCTTCTTTACTTGACAACCCTGAGGCCCTGTTTTTTGGCAGGTGGTCAAGTTCAAGAACGTGAGCTACACGTCTCAGATCCGGCGCACCACCAAAGGCTACGCCACAGTCGGCAGCAAGCTGGTGGACTGCTTCGCGCCCTGCATGAAGGAGAAGGCGCCCATTGAGATGTTCCACATACTGGTGAGTCAATTTTTTTGGGTTATCCTCGACGTTCTACGTACCGGTCAGGCAGCTTTCGAGATAACCCACACATGTCACGTACTCGGCAGGCGGCTTTTGAGATAACCCTGACGTTCCGCATACTGGTGAGGCGGCTCTACTGCGAACCAGATCATTGAAAGACGGATCGTCTTTTCGCCTGGCTCCTGTCGTCTCCCGAGCTGGTCCGCGTTGGTCGGTTTGCAGGGAGTGTCAATCTGCTGGCTAGATTATGAAACGTATGCTTTCTTTCCATTTCTCGAAAATCAGATCCTTTGGGTTTCGAAACGGCTTATCTTGCAGGCCAAAGCTCAGGCGCTGCGCCGTGGAAGCAGACTGTGAAAGACGTCAAGCCCCCCGGTCCTTCCGACCTGCAAAAACTCCAAATCTCGATTTGCTTCCCGAAGACGTCAACCCTTCTTTCCGGATCATGTGCAGGACGACTGCACGGGCTACCTGATGCCTGGCACGCTGACGCTGGTGCTGGGGCCCCCGGGGTGCGGCAAGTCCAGCTTCCATCAGGTGAGGACGCGATACAATACTCGTGGTTCTACATTCTGGCACTGGCCGTCTTAAGCGAGCCTCGGAGCGTGTTTGGAGAGCTTCTGCAGCGTGAGCTAAAACCGTCGGAACTTCCCAAATGTCGCAATTGTGAGGCTCCCCACCGGAAAGAGTCGAGTGCGACTGAGCGTCGAAGATTCTTTTTGGCACATGCAGATGCTTTTAGACGGACACTGTCAATGATCATGACCCTGTTATCGAACGTCCCGTGATGCCTGTCTCCTAATAGTGAGCAGGTCTCCTACTTAGACATTCGTCTGGCTAAAATTCACACTTAGAACCTTGCAAAGACGTGCCGAAAAGCAGTAGACAAACCAAAAAAAACTTGCAACGCTTTTCGCAGGTCTTGGCCGGGCGAGCTTGGACGGACAAGACGACAAAGCTGACGGGAGAGGTGACGTATAACCACCAGCCGGTCGCGGAGACGCAATACCGACGGCTAGCCACGTACATCGGCCAGGTGGGTCTAGTCAAACCTGCATAGCCGCGATTCCTCTTTCTTCGTTCCTTTCGGTGGCTTGACAAGTATCTTTCCGACAGGTTTTGGTCTCATTTCATTAGGTCTTTGGCACCCAAATCCGAACGATTGAGATTGCTGAAACCCTGCCTGCTCGCCAAGATCATTTGCTCAAAGAACTGCCCCGAGGGTGATACTCTTGTTTCGATCTCCTTTTTGGAGTTTCCAGACTAACCTTCGCAAATAAACGTAGCGAGGACCGCTCCTGGACCGCTCCCAAGCTTGCTGCTATTTCGTCTAATATAGTCAGTGCAAATCGTCGAGATTCCCTGGATGTTTAGATCTAGAAAGACTCTTAAGGGAAAGCATACCTTTCTTCCAACCTTATAAACCCGAGACCTTGGACGTACGTTCTTGGAAAGAACTAAACCCAATTCTTTCTCGGCAGACGGACAAGCACCTGCCGACGCTGACGGTGCGCGAGACGTGCGACTTTGCGCGCGACTGCACGACGGACACGCTGGTGACGGACGAGAGCCACCGGCAGTACCTTTTCCAAGTTGGCGGGGCCGTGGGGGAAGCACTTGAAAACCGAGGTGAGTGCACACATTATGGGCTTAGTTACGTTCTGTTTCGTACGAATTAGCTCACTGAGGACCTATTCCGCACGAAGATGGAGAAAGATATAGATAGCGGACACCAGACTGATGAGATCGTTCGTAGCGCTGCGGCTGCGTTTGGAACAGTTGCTCAATTTTCTGAGACGCATGGCTTCTGGAACATTTGCATTGTAACTCTGGGATGCATTCCTACATTGCATGGGTAGCGGACCACTTCCTAACTTGCTTGTTATCGCATGTGGCTAGCTCTTTCAATACAGAAGGGGAGCGTACAAACCTATGCTCCTTTCCTCCAACGCTTCTATACCGTGACGACGTCACACTTTTAGTTCCTATCCCGCAAACCTAGGGTTCCGCTTGCTGAAAAGACTCCCATTTTTTGAGCAGGTTATCCTTAACCTGATGGGCCTGGGTCGCGCCGGCGACACCCCGATCGGCGACCGCGTCCGGCGGGGCGTGAGCGGCGGGGAGCGCCACCGCGTGACGACTGCCGAGATGCTGTGCGGGACATACGTCGTCTTCCTCTTCGATGAGATCAGCACGGGGCTCGACAGCTCGGCCACGTAAGCGCGCCGCGTTTCCTGGATAGCATCTTCTTTTGCAAAAGGACTCGGCTTTTGGCTTTGCAATTGCTGCAGCCTAGCACCGCAGGTGGTGAGCTAAACAGCGGCTCTGGACTCGTTGGGTTTGGGCCTGTAATTGCCATGCGCCCACTTGCAGACACGACCAACCATTAGTTTGCCAACATTTGCCAGAGATTCAGGTCACCACTCTGCCCCGTTTTCGGATGGTCCGGGCGAAGAGTGGCCATTCCGCAGAGTCTGCATTCTAGACTTGCCCCGAATCTTGCTCGGAATTGAGTCAGCCGACGGCACAATCTTCCTCTTCTCTACTCACTTCCAGCTTCCAGCGCCTTCGGGTTTTGATTCTTGGGTTTCTGCCCACTCCCCCCTTTTCAACGAGTTCCGCCCATTCCTGCGAGTTCCGCCCTTTTCCGCACAATCCGCCCATAACTTCGCCAGCTCTTCTGGTACAGGTACGACATCGTGTCGGCGATCCGCACGCTCGCGCGCACGTCCCAGACGACCAACCTGTTCTCGCTGCTGCAGCCGTCCCCCGAGGTGTTCGACCTCTTCGACCGCCTCGTGCTCCTCGACGAGGGGCGGATTGTCTACCAGGGGCCGCGCGAGGACGTCCTGCCCTACTTCGCAAAGCTGGGGTGAGCCGCCCCGTTCAATTTCTTTGCGTGGCAGGGACTTCATATGTATGGTTCTGTCCTCAAAGCTTGGGCATTCTTAGTTGTAAAGAAGCGGACTATAGGCAGGTGGCTCGAACGATCTGTCCCATCCGGAGCTCGGGTATCGCCAGCTCTTTGGCACGGTGGTTTAATTATGTCGGGGCTTGTGTGGCTACCCGGTCTTCTCAAGTTGCACCTTTGTGGCAGACTTCAAGGTCATAGTATTCGAGCTTATAACCAGAGGCTCTGGCTTTAGAAGCCTTTGATATCGGTCCCGGTGAAGGCTTGTGGGCTTTCAGGTTCCTCGACTCTCAGGCTTCGTAGTCAAGAGCCTGAGCCTAAGTACGTTGTAAAGCAGAATAGTGCCAATCACCAGCCTACTCAGAATACTTTTCATGGTCACTAGCCGTTCTGACCTCTTCTTCATAGCTGCTTCAAGCCCAATGTCCAAGAGTCCTCTTCTGAACGTTACAACTTGCAGTTTTTCCTATACTGTTGATGACGTGCCCTGTGCCTTGCAGTTACTTCAAGCCAAAGCACGTCGATGTCGCCGACTTCCTCCAAGAAGTGACCACCGAGGCGGGGCGCATCTTTTTGCGCTCCGGTTTCCGAGCGCTCGACAGCCTCGGCTTTGCGGCGGCCTACAAGGCCAGCGAGCCGTTCGCAGAGGTGCAGCGGGTGGTGGAGAGCCCCGAGCTGAACCGCGAGATCGGGCTGTTTGGAGCCAAGCCGCTGGGGCTGCTCCTCGAGGACGGGAAAGTGCCCGGTGAGTGCATAAGCCCCTGCGATCTTTGCGCGCATCAAAGAGATGCGTGTTATGCGAGTGCCAAGCGGAAGTGACGGCCATTGAGCTGTTGAGGTGGCACCAAAAAGAAACAGAGACGCCAAGTGGTCTTCACTCGGTTGAATCTTTGACGGCTCACAAAAGGAAACTTTACTTGATTCGGATGGTGCTTTTAGAGTTTTCCCGCCGATTCATCTCTTCGACGTTGGACTGTTCAAACAGTTTCTGCTCTTTTGAATGCGGATTGCCCTGCTTCACGTGTATTCCGGCTTGGCGCTCAAGTGTGCCGCTCAAATGCCTCGGAATTGCTTCAACCTCTCTTTCTAGGACCAGGCGCAACTTGAAGATCATCCGGCCCTTCACTTGCTCTGCTTCTCAATCATTCAAGATTCGCGTGGCCATGTGGGTATGCCAGTCCTGATTCTTAGAGCAGAGCGTGCTGCCATCTGATCGGCAACCCCGATCTTACTCTAGATCCTCAGAATTGAATTCAAGGCAAAGTCTTTGCATGAATAAACAACCATTCAAACAGGAAGAAGAACCTGTCTCATTTCTTCGCCCAGCTGCTCTTCCCGTCATCGCCTCCTTGGACCCCTCCGGCAGCCTGGCCGCCGCTTCTGTCGTCAGCACGGACAAGGCCCAGCCCGGGGACGCCGTGACCGCCGTCTCCGGACCGTCCGGCAGCCTGGAGTATCTGGCGCTCAAAGACTCGGACGTCCGGACTGCGTCCGCAGTGGAGGGGCTCCTCGAGGCGTCGATGGACCCCGTGCGGCTGCAGGTGCAGCGGCCGGTCAATAAGGTAAGCGTGCAATGACGTCACCATCAACCTCAGTGGTGATTGTCGTTACGAGCTCAACGACGCTAAACAACCAAGCACAATATGACCTGCTCCGCACCTCAACCCATGCTAACACCCCTACTAAGCGGACCCGTCCTTGGCAAGTTCGATAAACCGACTGGTGGCTCGCTTGGTCCAGCTTCGTCCAAGCCTCGCTGACTCCCCTCTAATAGGACGCCAAACAGTCTAGATTCTGGAATTCTCGACTGGGCCGAATCCCTGTTTTCTGAACGAAAAACAAGAGACACGTAACTGAGTAACTTTGAGCGACTCAAAATTCTCTCGTCCGCCGGAACCATACACCGTGAATCAAGCCTTCCAATCGGAACGTCTCAATGGGAGCCCGTTAATGAGTCTGCAATTCCAATTTTCTGACTGCTCCATATGTGCCTTTCCGTGTCCAGGAGGTGGGCTCCGAGTGGGCGACCTTCCTGTCCCGGGAGTTCGTGCAGCCAGTCTGGGAGAACACCAAGACCGTCTTCCGCCGCCAGTTCAAGGTCGCCATTCGCAACACCGTCTTCCTCTACGCCAGGCTCTTCCAGGTACGGGCACCGAAGCGTTGGCTGCGGAATTTGGGTCATATAGAGGAAGATAAGAAACTGAGAGAAGAAACTGATCAGGGGAATATGTTGAGAGGCTCAAACATTTTCGGACGGGGCCACCATGTGACGCTTTCAGTCGTGTTGTTGTGCGAAATTCGCCGAGATTGTCTGCTCTTGTCCGCATCGATAATATGTGATAGGAGCACTTTACTGTTGTAGTGACTTCTCTAGACAAGCGACAAGGGAGGATAAAGCCATTCATCGTCAAGCACTCCAACAATCCCCCTCGTCATTCTGCCATCTTGGTGGTAACCTTCTATTACTGGACGTCTTCCAAGCAGATTGATATCCTCACCTTCCCCCTCATCAAGCCTTATATCAACACGTTTCTAAAAGCACTACTGTCTGCCATTGCCCCGTCAAACCCGCTAGGCTTCCCCCGCAGGTGTTGGTGCTGGGCACGTTCACGGGCACGGTGTTTTACCAGATCTCCAAGAATCCGACGCAGACGGACATGGACCTGCGCAAGTCGATCTCTTTCATCGCCGTGCTGGCAATGGCGCTCGGCGCTATGGCGCAGATCCCCAGCCAGATTGACGAGCGAGTGGTGAGCTGGGAACGGAAGGGAACGGAACGGTCTGGTGCTGAACGGAAGAAAGTGAAATGGACTTGTGCTCAACGCATCCATCCTTTCAAGATGGCGGAGAGTCGGGACACGACCAGCCTGTCTGGGCTCCGACTTTTGTATCCCGCTACACAATACAAAGCGCTCGGAAACTTTGTTCCACTGCCCTTTGGAACAAGTCCATGATGACAAACGGCCTTGAACGTTGAGCAGACTGCGTCTCTGGCGAAAGCAAAAGATAGCCCTGGTATCCACCGGTATTATCTTCATTGCCACGGCATACTAAATCTGAGGTTTCGCAGGTGTTCTACAAGCACCACGACGCCCGCTTCTTCCGAGCCAAGGCATACGCTATGGCGCTCGTGATTGCGGGCATCCCGTTCAGCTTCATGGAGGTGAGGCGTCCAAACTATTGTCTTGAGTCAGCCAAGGAAGGACGTGGCTTCAAGTCAACCGGATGACCTCCTTGGTTCTTGCTGCTTTCGGCTTCGATGATCGGTTGGATAGCGTTCTTGTGAGCCTTTGTGAAATCCTATTTAGCTGGGGGACGTGACAGTCAGCTCGTGCCTGTTTGTTGGAGGAGTTTATGGATGAGGGCTCACCAGCAGCAGCACGTCCCCTGCAGAACAGTATCACTACACCAGGGCGAATCAACGTAACCTCAAAAGTCAGCAAGTCTCACATATTTGGAGCATGCCCCGTTATCTGACCACGCTTCGACAGCCCTCACCGCATCATCAGGCAGAAGAAGTGCCACTAACGCTTTGACAATGCCGGTCCACTTTGGCGACTCTGAATACTTAGAAGTCCGAAATCTTGACGCTCTACAACCCTCCAGAAATTGGACATACTTTGAATGTTTTGCAGATTATCGTGTACTGCCCGTTGCTGTACTTCTTGACTGGCCTGAGCCTGGAGACGAATGGCGCGCACTTCTTCATCTTCCTGCTCATCGTGTTCGTGGCCGCGCTCTTCGGCTCCGCGCTCGTGCGCCTTCTCGCCGCCATCTCGCCGTCCAGAGAAGCCGCGGGCGGCCTCGCAGGTGGGCGTCCGAACAGCTTCTCACGTAGCTCTGTGCGTCCGAACACGATCTTGTGTGTGTTTGAACGGTGCATTTCTGCCTCGCAGAGCTGATTGTGGATTTCAGGGGCAATGTGCTGCATCGGACGGTGACCTTGTGCTCGAACGAGGATAATGCGCGTCAGTGTCTTTGTTTGCGAGCGGTAACTTGTGCGTCTTAACGGTGGCATTCTGATTCTGATCGGATGTGTTCTACCGCGTCGAGATAGTCGTCCATGCGTCTAAAGGGGATCCTGATCGCGTTGAATTGCATAGATTCGCGTCTCGACGGCCATACGCAGTGCGTTTAGAAGGTCACATGGGATGCCCGTCAGCGTATGCAGAGCCAGCGCTTGCGTATGAGCAGGGTCATGGGCTCATCTAACGGCCAGAAATTGTCCGCCAGGCCCTAGCCGGAACTCCGTCGGGAGCGGAATCAACCCTTTGACACGTCTCGTTCAATCTTCTAGCGTAAGGATTCAGCTATAAGTCCGACACTGTAGACTGTCAAGTTGAAGTCGTAGAATCTCCAGCCTATCTTGTGTTTGAACTCCTAGTCCGGTTGCATCCGGTACAACTCAGAACTTTTAAGTCCCTTGCCGTGTCGGGGTCCTTTTTCGTCTTTTTACAATTCCTTTTCTTTGATTGTGCTCAGGTCTGTTCGTCATCCTGCTCTTGCTCTTCTCGGGCTTCCTCATCGTAAAGAACAAGATCCCCCCATGGTGGTGAGTCCCAGCTCGTTTCTTTCTGTTTTTGTTTTTCCTTTCTTTTCTCCTTTACTTTCTTCCTTTCGTTTTTCTTTTTGATTCTCCCGCTTCCCTCCTGATCAAAACGCGTTGAATGCCCTAACAATGAGCAGTCACGAAGTTTTTGGACTATTCAACACGCGAAAGAGGGAAGATGCCATGGTGCCTGCATTGCTAATCCAGATTGTTTCAGCTGCCTGTCTTTCAGACACTGGCTTGCCTGACTGCACCCCAGTACCGCAGGAACCCGCGGAGCTGACGTCGCTGCTGACGTCTTTTTCTCCATCGTATTTCCCACCCCCAGGATCTGGTTCTACTACATCAACCCGCTGCAGTACGCCTACACGTCGATCGTCCTCAACGAATTTCTCTCGGGTACCTACGACTACCCCTGCAGCGATCCACGTGTCGACCTGGCAACCGCTTCTTTCTGCCGCGGCAAGCCGGACACGAGTGTTGCGGAAGCGTACTTGGCAATCTACAAGTTCCCCAAAGGTTTCGGCCAAGTCTGGCTGGGCATCGGCGTGCTGTTCGCGTTCTACGTCTTCTTCACGATCCTCACCTTCATTGCCATGGAGAAAGTCAGGTGGGCTCATTGTGCTCGAGGGTTTGGCAGGGCTTTGACGCTCGACGTTCAAATACTCCGACGTTTTAACGCTAGCAGCAATTCAAGGGCCCTTTCGAAGAGAATAGCGCACAATCTCAAACCTTCGGAGATTGATACAGGCGCTTCTGCTTTGCACCACCCAACTGAAGCCGCTTGGAAGTACTACTAGCCGCTATGGTAGCTCATGCGAAGGCACGAGAAGGCTTCTGCTCTGTCCAGCTTTACTTCCTTATCGCAGGCGGACCTAGTTTTTAGCAGATTGAGGAAATAGAGCGAGCGGCATCGTACGTCAACTGATTCAACTCTCCGCGTAAATTCTCGTTTGCAGGTTCCCCGACCAGAAGAACCCCCCCGCGCTCGCACCCTCCCGGCAAAAGAAGATGGTGATGCAAACGAGGCCGCCCCCGAAGCCATCGAAGCCGCCCCGACTGCTTCGACAGTGCACTCTGGCAATGGCGCCAACGGCGCTACAAACGGTCGGGAGATCGAAGTGAGCAACGGCGGTGATGTGGAGCTGGGCGAACTGCCTGCCGGGGCCAAGTCCCCGGTGAAGTCCTCCGGGCTGGCGTTCCTGCCCATTACGCTCTCCTTCCACGACATCGTGTACGAGGTAACTCTCCGACCCTTGGCTGCAAATTCTGACAAATTCTTGACAAATCTTGGCCAGGTAACCAAAGATGGAGGCGCGGCGGAGAAGAGAAAACTCGTAAACAGCACAAAGGTATCGGTGGCTCTGTGCTCGACTGTGAACCCCTCCAAACGTAAGGAGGCAGCAAGTGCGACCAGCCTCATCCCTGGATCTTGGGGGGTGCCCGCGAGTTTGAGGAGTTGTCTATCATTGATGAGCGTTTTCGTACTTAGGCTCCCCCTGTCCATTGAATCCACTCCAACGCTCCCCTCGGCCGAAGGCTTTGACGGCTGTCTGCAGACTGCATCGAGGCGGCCAGGTTTGACATACTCTGCGATTCTCCTTCAAGCCAACGGCTCTCGCACTGATCTCTTCGCCCCGGTTGTCCAGATCGACGTCCCGGGCGCGTCCGAGCCTCGCGTGCTGCTTAACTACGTGTCTGGTTACGCAAAACCGGGCACCATGACGGCGCTCATGGGCAGCTCGGGGGCGGGCAAGACGACTCTGCTGGACGTGCTGGCCGGGCGGAAGACAACCGGGCGGATCCGGGGGGACATCCTGATTAACGGCTACCCGAAAGTGCAGGAGACGTTCGCCCGGGTGATGGGGTAAGGTCACCGGGGGATCGTTTTTTACAGGAGTGCTCACTCGTCGGCACCTCTCAAACTTGTCCGCTGTATTCTGTTGCGAACGCGTTCTTTGGGAATTAGAACGCCGGCCTCCTTCAGTTTCCCAGTCGGAATGCAAATATGTCTGAGCTTATGGAAACTCCCCCTTCTCTTCGGCTACTGCAGATTGCCGTTTCCATCATATCCACTTCCATCTCAAAGCCCACCTTAAAGTAGGATCCAGTTCTTTATGCTTCGGTCCAAAAGCCCGTTATTCGTAACCCCGTGACTCGTGACCCATACTCAAAATCGTAACCATGACCGTAACCTGTTATCTGTAATCCGTAGAATCAAGATTCCTGATCCTGCGACCTTCCCAAGAGGTACTGCAAGCAGAACGACATCCACACGCCATACGCACCGTTCGAAGTCCCTTTACTGCTTTCACAAATCGCTCTTTTCGTGCCCTGAAAGCGTAATTCCAGTTTTAGCAATTCTTTTAATCCTCAAAATCTGCTGTTTTTCAGTTACTGCGAGCAGAACGACATCCTCACACCGTCCGCTTCCGTCTCAAAGCTTCATCCTAACCCACAACTCAGTCCCTTATGCCGAAAACCCAGTGTTTGCAGAACTTTAAGACCCTAACCCTGACACCCTAATCCTGCGAACTTTCTCCCCAGCCACCGCAAGCAGAACGACATCCACGCACCATCCGCTCTTGTCTCGAACCCCACAACTCGTCCTTTTATGCCCTAACCCAAAACCCCTGAAACCCTAACCTTACCACCCTGTTTGATTTCAATTATTGCGAGCAGAACGACATCCACACGCCTTAACCGACCATGTTGAAAGCTAAGCCTTCCTCACGCCTCGCCCATGTCTAAGTTTCACATTGAACTCACAGACCTAAAAGCGCTAAACCCCTGAAAACTGTGTGTCCAGTTACTGCGAGCAGAACGACATCCACACGCCGTACGCGACAGTGTACGAGTCGCTCCTCTTCAGCGCGCACCTGCGGCTGCCGCGCACCACCACCCCCGCGCAGCGCATCCAGTTCGTCAAGGAAGTGATGGACCTGCTGGAGCTGTGGCCCCAGGCGAACGATCTGGTGGGCTTCATCGGATCGGGGGGGCTCAGCGTCGAGCAGGCCAAGCGGCTCACCATCGGCGTGGAGCTGGTGAGGACACGTGGCGGCCTGTCGTTGGTTGCATGGGCGGAGTAGAGGTAGCAGTATGAGCGTGGTAATTGGAATTTTGCAACGCGTATTGGAGTGGAATGAAGCAGACATGAAGTCCAAGGAGGTAGAATCACTTGCCTCCAGGGGTAACATATCGTGGGTGAGGTTACGGGTGTACTTTCGCTCGTAAAGAAGGACCTGTGAGAAGAGGCTCTGACCTGAGACCGGTGGGAAGACTGACGAGTTGGCGCTTTGTCTTGCAGGTATCGAACCCTTCCGTCCTTTTCCTCGGTAAGACCTTACTCTTAGCTTACAGCTTGCATCAGATGGCAGAAGCTTCTGAACAATCCGACATTGCGATGACGGACACCCAACATCAGAATCTCTTTACACTGCCTTCACCGCATGATAGGCTGTGTCGGTGCCTGGAATCCAGATGTCCGCGATCCGGAAAAAGGTTCTTGGTAGACTGCTTTCGTCTCCAGATAGTCGACTTGCAAATAATGGTGATTGCCTTGCTTATCCCGATTCTCAACCAATCTTTGTGTATTCGTCTTACTCGACCATTTACCTTTGAAGCCAAAGTTGCTCAGATTTTGTTGGAAGGTCATTCAGCCTGCCTCTTCACAGAAATCAGCGGTCACCGGTCTCGTGCCAATTTGACAGAGTCAAGGAGGGCCTTAGCCAAGCCTTCGCCAAACTTCATCAGACCAGCGGTAAGCTTTAAATCAAACCCTTGCAGATGAGCCCACGTCGGGGTTGGACAGCCGCGCCGCGCAGCGGGTCATCACGGGGATCCAGAACATCGTCTCGACTGGGCGCAGCGTTATCTGCACCATTCACCAGCCGAGCCGTCGCCTGTTCCTGGCCTTCGACAATCTGCTGCTTCTCAAGCGGGGAGGGGAAGTCGCTTTCTTTGGGGAGTTGGGCTTTGAGAGCAAGAACCTGCTGGTGAGAGGACAGACTGACGGTGCTTTTCTGTTGGGAGAGAGTCAACGGCACTTTCGTCCCTGCGCAACATATACATATTGAAGAGCTCCTCGCGAGAATACTCCGTTAGGAGCTATAACACAGTCGGTCGCTAAAAGCAGGAATGGTCGAGGTTGAGGAGCAGTCTAATTTCAGGAGCGGCGCGTTTCGCATATGAGTAGAGCTCATTCGAAGGTTGGGTTAGCGTACTCTATTTGACACTGGTGCAGGCCTTGCAAGTCCTTTATACAAGCCAGGAAGCTCGGAACCGAGCCGCTAAACCGGAACCTCAACAACGGAAAGAGCAGAAGGACCGCAGCACGTCTAGTGCCACCTTCCGTGTGATCCGGAACCTATTTTGAATATATGCTAGCTCACCACGTCGCCGCAATTCCCCGCAGGCGTACTTTGAGTCGCTGCCCGGCGTGCCCAAGTGCGGCGACCACCAGAACCCGGCCACGTACATGCTGGAGGTCATCGGCGCCGGCATCGGCCACGACGCGCTGCGCGACTTTGCGCTCGATTTCAAAAACAGGTAATGCGCATCTATAGTAGCGGCCCTGATGTACTCAGCAAAAATGACGTGCACCCCGTGTCGGTCGTTGTTATGGTATCCACTGGTTATGCAGCAGTTCGCTGACGAAGCGGGCTTGACGGGCGTGACACGTCAAAGATGCCACATCTCGAGCCGCTTTTTGGGCACTCCGAGAGCTCATGCTGACGCAAGCCTGCCGGAGTACCAACGCCCGAGCCTACTCCTACTCTGATCTTTGGGCTCGTGGGTTGTCAAGCTGCCGCCATGGCTTTTCGCTGACAATGCTTCCAAAGGGCGACTCTGACATTGATTCGCGTGATGCATGCCATGTCACATCCAGATTGGCGTGCTGACGTCTCTCTAAGTAACTCTGTGCTGACGTCATGTCCCCCCGTTCTGCAGCGAGTTGGCCGAGTTGAACTACGAGGAGCTGGAGCAGCTGCGGTGGTCCGCCGGGAAGGCTGGCCCCAACATCACGGAGAAGGGCTACGCGGCGGAGTGGGGCCTCATCGCGCGCCAGGTGCTGCTGCGCATGCAGACCACCTACTGGCGCAACGTCAGCTACGTGAGCACCGCTTTCTCTCGCGCCCCTAGTTTCGGTAGGGCCGCTCTTTCTCGCCTCGACTTTGTGTAGGGTCACTTTCTCATCAGAGTCGGCTGCGCACGCAGACCAACTATTGGGTAACGTCAGCTACATAAGCGCCGCGACCTCTATTAATGGCTTCAATTTTCAATCAGTGAATTATGCGTGAAGTTTGTTCCTAATGGATACAGAATTCGAGAGCAGGTTCGTACTGAATGCACTAGTTGTCATGCTGGGCAGTAGTTTCTTCCACTTGTAACCACCGAGTCTCAACGAAATCCATCAAAACCACTCGAGAACAGGTTCACAGGGACTATTCGGTCCTGTTGCTTCTCATTCCCGCAGAACTTCGGCCGCATCAAGTTTGCGTTCATCTTGGGCGGGTCGCTGAAAAGCATCAATACCTGTTTCAAATCGCTAACTCTCTTCTAAAGTTCAAACCCTAAACTCGTTCATTTTCCTATTTCCCGCAGAGCTTCGGCCGCATCATGTTCGCGATCATCCTTGGCGTGTTGCTGGGCAGCATCTTCTGGCTGGTCAAGTACGACACCGTGGCGGGCGTCGCCTCGCGCACCGGCATGATCTACATCTCCGTCGTCTTCTACTCGGTGAGGGGGATCCCTCTCTTATCTCCTTTCGTGCAGTGCCCTTCAAAATCGATCCCATACCGGGGTCTTCAGCCGAAATCGCGCACAGGAGCCGCCCTGCGTATTGGCGTGCTTTACATTTGATGCGTATGCCATTTGTCTCATATTGTTGATGTGGTCATTTTCAAAGCTCGAGCGCGGTCGAGCGGCGTGCGGTCGAGCGGCGAGCCTCCTGTCCTTGAGGATGTTAGATCGTTCGATCTGCCACCTCAAAGCAAGTGCATCGTTCCCGCTCCCTTCCGCGCGCAAGTTCGAGATTCAAACGGTTGCAAAGATGGACTGCCCTTACCTGAAAGACAGCGCAACGAACAGGAGGAAGGACACACTTTAGTCTGCGGCATGCTCACTGGTTGTTGTGTCGCTCCCCTTTGCCAGATCATCAACGCCAACAACGTCATTCCGCAAGTGAACGCGGAGCGGCCGCTGTTTTACCGCGAGAAGGCCGCACAAATGTACCCCAGCGCGCTCTACAGCATCTCGTGGGGCCTCGCTGAGGTGGGGACTCGACTTCGAGTTTCTTTGTAGCCCTACGGAATGTGAAAGATATTTGCGACTCGGATTGTTAAACCCTTCTTCATTGGAACGGGTTGAGGAGCCAGAGTTCGCGCCAAGAGTTCCTTTGTTCTTGTTACCTGTGCGTTTGCGCTTCTCGCCGCTCTTGTCAAGTGGTGTGAATGAATGCTCCGTCAGTACGTCGATCGTTTTGCGAGCACAGCGCCTCAAGACTTTTGCTAGGCAGCTCAGGATTCAATCTCGAGCATCCAAATCTCGCTTCGAAGCATGCAAACATTCTGAAGATGCATCTTATCGTCCTCTTCTTTGACAAAGCATTTTGCACCCGCCTGAACGCAACAATGCTGGCCACACAAAGGTAACCCTTCAATTACCCCTCTGCTCCAAAGCAACGCTGCTTACGTAAGCCCATCTGCCAGATTTCAAATCAGAACCAACCTACAGAACCCCCCAGTCTCAGTGCGCGAAGTCAGTCGCTGGCAGGATCAAGACCTTGCTTTTATCCGCACGGGGAGCACAACATGGTTAAGGTTAAACCCTTGTTAATTGCAAACCCTTTTCAACCCATTTTTGCAGATTCCGTACCTGGCGTTGTCCACGCTTATCTTCTGCGCCATCGCCATGAGCATGGTCGACGTGGCCATGAACAGCGCCTCCGACTTCTTCGCCTTCTGGTTCCTCTTCTTCGAATACGCAGCGTCCATCACCTTCTTTGGACTCATGCTCGCACATGCCACTCCAAATGCGGAGGTGAGAGTTTTGGATTACGGTGCAAAGCGGGTTGAGAAGTCGGTTTTTTTTAGTCGGTGAATTCTTGCTCCTCTTTCTTAATACGCAGCGTCGATTCCCGCCTTCGGCCTCCTGCTCGCACACGCCAGCAAATGTAAAGGTAAGAATTTCGGTTTACCATTTCCCGGGTTAACTGGGTTCTGTTTCGGTTGGAGATCTCTTTGTCAGTCCGCAGCGTCCATTATTTGCTTCGCCCCTCATGCTCGCGCACGCCACGCCAAATGTTGAGGTGAGGCTTCCGGGTCATCGAAAAAGCGGTTCAAGAAGTGGGTTCCCTTCGGGTTGCTACTCCGTTTTCCTCTTTGCTGATACGAGGAGCGTCCATCACACTCTCACATTCCTGCTCGCGCACGCCACGCCCAATGCCGAAGTTAGGTCGTCGGGTTACGTGAGATCTGGTTCGTGAGTGTCCCACTTTTCGGTTTGTGAAGGCCGTGTCAGCCACTCGTGATGGTGGTTGGGAGCACTGGGCTTCGCGTCTGAGGTTTAAATGCTTGCGGATGAAAGGGTTTGACGAACATGAAAGCAGACCTTGCTGATGCAACATAGCCATCGTTGTTGGATTCCTTGGTTGGAAGTGTGTCGCAACCGTTGAAGAAAAGAGTTATTGCAATCGGTCTGTAGGTTCTTCGTTTGAGCAATAATCTCGTTGTCCTGAGGCTTCCTGATTTTGATTGTTTAGAACTTGAGGCGTCGGCAATCCTTCCACTCGGCTCGAACAATAGAATATCGACAGTTGCAGAGTCCGCCGGACTTGCGAGTCTTTTCAAACGCTCACGGACCACGTCGTTGCAGTGATGTACACCAGGGAGGCACTCTGACTCTCTTTTCCTGTTTTTGTCTGCAGACGGCCTCTATCATCATTCCCCTCGTTATCAACGTCTGGTAAGACTCATACGCCAACTTGTGCGGAGTTCATCTAGGGCATGCTGAATTTTCCTTCTCGAGACTTTGCCCCGTTTTTGCTGCCGTTGGTCTAGTTGACTGGAGCTGTATGCTTCTTGGTTTTCGTCTCGCTTGCTGCCCGTAGCTTACGGGTATCCTTCTCTGATGCAGGAACATCGTCTCCGGTTTCATGATCCCCAAGAACAAGATCCCGGTCTTCTGGCGCTGGCTCTACTATCTCAGTCCAACGGTAAGCCCCGACTCATACTACCCCCAGAGCGTTGGACGCAACTCTGATAACAAAAAGTCAATAGCTTCTGCTCACATCGTCTCACCTGATGAAGACTTGTTCAGCGTCAAAAAAAAGAGAGGTCCGAGCCTGGCGGGCGATTCCGGTCCTTTACCCATCCAGTCACATATGCAATCCAGTTTGATTTTACCCCCTCGACGACCTATCATCCCCAGGTGCTCTTCGAGCGCGGACTTGCCAGCTCTCTGACCGTAAACTCGGGCCACTCTCTTCCGAAGTTAGCCCACCGAACCGCGAAGTCCCTTTCCAAGGGTGCCGTTTGCAAGGTCCACGACGCTGTCCTGCGTCTTCTGGAGCCGTCACTCAGGGCTGGAAGCGCGCGTTGCTTCAATAACTAAGTCTTTATTTCGTTACCCTTCCCTCTGTCTCGGCCTTCTCTCTCCACGTTCTTCTTCGCCGGGGGAGCTCACGCTTTAGAGGGCAGCTCAGTCATCGGGTCGATCTTGTAAATCCTTTGAATCTCCGCAATTCTACCCTCGCAGGCATACACCTTAAACGGCCTCCTCTCGGTTGCATTTCACTGCGACACCTCCACGCCCGAGTGCTCGATCGCCGGGTGCAACAACAACCCTGCCGTCTGCCCCGCCTGCACGTGCCCGCGGATCACGGATCAGGGCAACGTCATCGTCTGGAACAGTCTGACCTCCCGCCAGAGCCTCGACTACGGCCAGAGGTTCCGAGACATGGGCGTGTTGATCGTATTTATTCTGGCGTTCCGACTCGCCGCATACCTGGCCCTTGTGTTCATTAAGCACAACAAGCGGTAAAGATAGACACAAGGCAAAGATAAGCAAGCAGTCTGCTTGAACAAAGGTTTCATTTCTCGAGTGCACGACCCGAGAGACCAGGCCTTTTAATAAGATCGATAGGCAGCAAGCAGGTTTCGCAGAACGGTGCACGCAGACTAGCTTCTACTTGCATGTGGTAGTCTGATCAGATTCGCCGCTGTCAAACTGATTTTAGATTGCAGTTCAAACAGTGAAGGAAGCCCATCTTCGATCATGGGGAGACTATCTTGTACTTTTGAAACTCATATCGACAGGACTAAAACTTCACAAGTGCTGCCTAAAAGCAAGATTTATCAATCATCTTTCCTTTTTTAAGGATTTTGCGGGCTTGAAGTATGATGCCGTACTATCTCTTCGGTGGATCGTCTGACAAGTCGGATTCGTCGACCTCAAATCTTACCGGGCGGCCCTGCCCGGCTGGTGTTTGCGAGCCTTCAGATTGTCTGAATTCAAGCTGGTATAGGCAGGGCTGACAAGCACGGCCTTTAAATTTTGGCACGTTGAGTCCTGCGGGTTCTTCATTTTGTCCTTTGATCGATCGCGATCGATTGAACCCACCGTGCACGAAATTCATGGCAAGAGAACCATGCCCGTCCGCCATGTGAACATGTTCAGTCTAGCTTCCTTAGTAGCAAGTTCCCACCTAGCAACATGTGCGCGCAACTTAATTAAGGTGGATATCGCGGAGTTGGATATACTGCACGGCCAAATAGGGCCTGTATCTCCCGTTGTGGCTCACCACTGTCCACTTCCAATGTGACTTTTATTTGGGGTCAGTATACAGGTTTATGCTTTTAAGAATCCATACTAACGTAGACGGAGCTAACGATATGACGAAAACTTTTATCCAGATCGACTGTCTGCAGCTACCGCTCGTCCGCATGTCGATCTATGTTGAACAATTTTAAAAGCTCGAGGATCCGACATGATCACGTCAACCAGTATGCATGTTTATATACGCTATCCGGCACTGGCAATTCTATTCAAGCATGAGATTAGGGCTACCTAACGTAGCTAAACACCGTACTTTCTAACTGAAAGGTATCGCTGAAAGTGCCATTATTGTTGTTACTTTCCGCGGAGCTAGAGTGAGTGGCATGCTTAGGACTGTACCATGATATGTGATAAGATATCAACTTCGTGTCAAGAACAAGATTGTGAAGCTGCGAGCTATATCCTCCATGATTCAGCGACCAACGGGCATGAAAAGATGGGAGTTAGGGCTCTTGATGCGCTGTGAAGAAGCAACAAATTCTGAAATCTGCAGGTGTTAATCGCATTGTTTTATATTGCATGACTAGCTGCTCCAATGCTGCTGATTGCTCAATTGTTCGAGTTCTCAATGCTTATCAAGCGCGGCTCCTCCACGACTATTGTAAGTCTTGGCTTTCGCTTTTGCAGATTCAGGAAGCTTGTTACCATGTTGACTAGGGGACCGTTTACACCTCTCAGGTCGATTTTCAAGTGTGTGAGCACTTGGCTTGCCTCAGCAATCTTGACGCAGAAATGTACTTCCTCCATACTAGTAGCATCTACCACCAGCTTCAAGAGGTTCCTAAACGACAGCGACACGATCCTCTCTGAGGACTGATCTACAAGGGCTTCCAAAAGCCTGATGCTCGTATCCAATGTCTTCAATCTCCGCAGGTACATGAGGATCTCTGCGGCTTTCTCGATGTTGCTATTTTCGAATGCCACATCCTCGAGATCAAGTATTTCTAGGTCCCTTGAAAGCTGTAGCACCTGGAGAAAGGGCTCCTCTTTCCACGTGTTGGACAGCCTCAGTTCTCTCACCTTCCAGGGCGTGGATCCATGAATTGGTCCTTCTGGCGCCCGTTGGAAGTGCAGATTGCACAACTCTGGAGCATTGATGCATGTCTCCCGGCTGTCAGGCAGGTGCAGCCTTTTCAAGCGTGGCGTGTCTATTTCCAGTTTTGTCAATATTTCGTTTGATGTGGCGTTGTCAAGCACAAGAGCAGTAAGAGTTTGCGACTCCACCCTCAAGCTTGCAACACCACAAAGTCCTCTGATTGTCAGCTTCTCCAAAGCCGGAGCCACCTGATGTAGCAAGTGGTCCATTGCAGCTCTGGTGATCGATAACGAGTTTGTCAGGGCCAGTGCTTTCAGATGGAGAAAAGGCGTCAGGTTGCGCACAGGGCTCCAGATAGGAACTCTGCAGCGCACAAGCTCAATGGACTTGAGCAAAGGGCACCTAGACAGAGCCCTGAACAGCTGTTGTGTCAGCTCGTCAGCCTCATTTCCTAGATCACCATAAGTCAGGCGGAAGCGTTCCAGCTTTGGAGTGGAATTCAGCGCCCCTGCGAGCAGACCACCAGAGATGGTCATAAGGGTAGTACCTTTCCGCTTGCAGATCAGGTTCATCCTTCTCAGATCCTCTGCCTCTTGCAGGAAGAACAGGAGCCGTGCGTCCATTGTCCTGGCTGCATTCAGCACGCAGACGACCCCTTCCACCTGCAAAGCAAGCTGGTTAAACCGTCGCGACACCGGCCTCAGCCGTGCAAGCTTCTTGAAGTCTGCGGCCGGGTCTTTAGAAGTGGGACTCTCAGCAGGTCTCCCGGACGCCGCTTTAACCGGCAGGTCTCCCGGACGGACGATGATGCGACTCAGCAATGTATCTGGCAGCAGTTCAAGGGGGCAAGTGGCACCAGATCTTGCTGACGTGGCGGCCATTGCAGCTTCTGGTTCTTGTAGCTGAGTGGATGAGAGCTCTAGCTCTTGGAAGACGGTAGAAGTAGCTGGATGTTGAGTGGGTATGAAACTCTGAGTGGCATGGCGGGAATAGAAATAAAGACAGGCCGTCCGTTTGGTGCTACGACCTCCCTACGACGCTAAATACCTGTTGCTTGGAAGAATTGAAAGCATTCCTAGAGCAGAAGGACTCGGTGGAGGCCAGGCGCTGGCGTGCCCAAAAGGTGTGCAGTGCAAGTTGGCCCTTTGAACACATTTGTCGCGGCAGCCTGCATCCATCCAAGTTGCACGTAAGGATTATACCAGAATGCAAGCATGCGTAAAGACTCAAGCAGACCAGCTCTACCTAGGTTTCCAGCAAGAAATGAGCAAGATTCACAAGTTGCAACCGGCAGGGGTCGTTCAAGCATCAGCACGGGCGGTTGTACCGGCCAGGTCCCCTCTGTCTCTGATCCGACCTACCTAGGTATCACAAAGATACCTAACTTTGACGGGACGTACGTTGCAACGTTTCAGCCTGAGGTGGACACGCCATGGTGTGATTGCAACGTTCTTCAATTCCTGCAGTTGCTTTCTTTCTCGTCCGACGAGTCGGACCCGGCCCCGGCGAGCCACAAATGATGGATCACTGGGGGATCACTGCCAATTTGGTCAGCGATCTTGCCCGAGTCGTCACTGCAAACGACCCGGGTCCAAATGGCGACCGGGAAAGTAAGGCCGTCCGATAAACAGCTTGCAAGCATCTGACGGTTAAGCTGACCCAGGGATCAGGAGAGATAAGCTTCCGGTAGGCCGCTCAGCAACCGTCAACATACAAAAGCCGCGCGCGCACAAAAACTGGCGCTGGACTCGGACAGCTGCACTTGAATGCCCATGCAATGCATGATGGCATTGATGCAACAAAATGGCGCGTAAATCTGAGAACCCTGCTATGTTGCCTGTCACGTGGCAGTGTAGGCAGCTTTGAGCAAGCTTGCTGCTTGAAGTTGAATGAAGGCAGATGTTGGGATTGAAACTTTTAGTGAGGTTGTCGCCCGCATCACAGAAAGCAGCAGCCGCCATTTTGCATTTATGTCTGTGTTGAGGGCGTCAAACTTGTTGATTGCAGCGCTTCTAATGGTGGTAGTTGATGAGAAAAGTAGTTGCAGCTGGGGGCATCAGCAGCAATACTATGAGCACAAAACTAAATGAGTAGCTTTGGCGCTCCCAAGCATCGACACGTCGTCTATTGCTCGACATATGTAGCACTAGAAGAAGAGTCTGCCACAAGGTGTGTTGTAAAGGTGTGGATTGATGTTGCAATAACATTCTCTGAGTAGGACTGATTCAAGGATCTGAATTTCTCCTTTTGGTTCCAGACAAGCGATGATGCAGGGGCGGCCAGACTTTTGGGACCGACAGATTGCGCGCCCGCCAAATGAGCACTGGCGCGAGAGCACCTCCTCACATCAACCTCTTCCCCGTCCGATCGGGATGTCAATCGCTGGTGGTGACTGGTCATCTTATCATCAGGGGTCTCCAGATCTGCCCTTTCAGCCCCACGGCACGTTTGCATATCAGACTACCAGATCCGGCCCTCCCGAACTCGGTCTTAATGGCGCCTTCTCACATCCGCTCCCTCACCAACCGGGTCCGCCAAACCACGGGCCTGTTCGCACTCCATACCAGCAGACACCTGAACACCACCAGCCCCTTGGACTGGGAATGAACCAGATGGCAGACCAAACGCTTGCAGGGTTGGGCCCGCGCTTTGGCCTCCGGCCTGGGGGTTCATTTGCCCCCCGACCATACCCCCCGATGCATGTGAGTGGTGCCGATATTGGTCAGCAGCAGCTGGGACGGGAAGGCATTCTTCCGACGCCTGTTCCAGGGACATATAGTTCCGCTCCCGGTTGGCACCGGCCAGTTAGCGCTCAGTTGATGCAGGCTGCACCGAGGGCTGTGCGGCCACTTGTCTGGGGGCCGAACGGGAGCGGGGTCGTTTTGGTGCACGGCGCTGAAGGGAGGCATGGTAAGGGGATGTTATTCACGTGTTCCTTGGCTCTCAGTCATGATGGTTCAATAGTGTTCGCACAAAGCTTCCCTAGGAATTACTCCCTGCTTTCACATGTACCCAATCTCGAACTGAATCCACCATGAAAGGTGTGTTGGTCTGCTGATTGTCACAACGCGACTCTGTCAGTACGGCAGGGAAGCTTTCTGACACTGGCTCGGTGTCTTTTGCCATCGCACGATTACTCTGCACTAATGGCTCCTTCCCCCATTGAAGAGTCTTGCAGCTTTTGAGCTTCCGGTTCCTGTAGCTTACGTACAACCTTTATCCATTTGAGCAAGCCAACCAAACTTCCATTCAAACCTCACAGGTCCCAACCCCACCTCTCAAAGCGGCAACATACGCCAATTTCGACAAGAAGACTCGCGTGCTGGAGCCTCCAGTGACAAGCCGCCATCCGATGCAAAACGATCCAAAAATGGTTACAACCACGGTTCATCATCTCTCTCATTTCGAGATGTCCAAGCTGCTTCGCAAACAGACATAAAGCCTCCGATCAAGCAATCTCTGGAAAGGCGAGAGGTAAACCCGGGGGGTGGAGTAAAACGGCCGGCCAGCGCACAAGGAAGGGAGGAAAAGAGGCAGCGAACGGAGGCGCCGCGGGTGCCTGGGTGGAAGGCAAAAGCGGCGGAGGCGGTAGACGTTACAGACCAGTTTGCACTGGAGGATGTAAACAGTGAGTGGGCCAATTTTTGGAATTTCTTTTTCGAGGATTATGTGCAAGCAGTGTTGTTCCTGCATCTGAACCCCTTTTGCAATCATGGGACCTCCACAAGGCATGTGAAGGTGCTGTTGACATGTGTATCTGGGCCATACTTTGCAAGATTGTTCAGCGTAAGAGGTGATTACGACTTTGTGGTAAGAATCATTGTTCCGTTGATTCCCTGGTAAGAGTCGCCTGGTTGAGTATAAGCCAGCAATTCAACTCTTTTAAAAGGAGCACAACCATCGCGCCAGTGATGATCAAACCGACACTCTAGTGACGACCAAACCGACACTCTAGTGACGACAAATCGGTGCAAGTTTGTCAAGCCCCGCTCGTTCCACAAAACATGTGCATGCACTCATCAGTACAGGAGATTGAATACTGCATTGGTCTGTTACCCTGTCCTCACTTCAAATAATTTCACCTTTGAAGCATCTCATTCCTCATCTCTAAAGCAGCGTCCTCCTTCGAAGTATACTTTACACGCTTATCCTCTCTTCCAGACTCGTTAACAGAGATCCGCAACCCTTACATTTCTTCTCCATGCTTCTAAATTTTTCTAGCCGTTTCCCGAACCTCTAGTATCTCCTCCGCTACCAAGCACATCCCAAGCCGACCCGTCAAGCAGAAGACGTGGAACTCCCCACCTTAAGTTTCTTCTGCGGACGCGCTTGATCGGATCCCCGGTCGAGATCGGAGCGTCCTCTACGGTTCCGTTTTCTCTCCCCTGCTTCCAACCCTGTTCTTGCCGGCCCGTCGAGCAGAGGATGCGTTCAAGAAGAAGGTGGAGCGCGAGACGGATGCGCACCGCCTGGCGCAGCGCCAGAAGCAGATCGACTTCGGCAAGAACACGCTCGGCTACGAGCGTTACCTCGAGGTCACCCCAAAGTAAGCGGACTCCCAGAGTTGCAAAAAGCCCACTTTGGCCTTATTGTATCCCGCTTTTAATCGTGGACGCTTACCTTTGCTTTGATATGCGGTTGTCCGGCTTTTGTTTGCATCCAAAGGATCGGGTAATTGGTTAGATCTTAGTGTATACATTAGACTCCTCGAGCCTTGAACCGATCCCACAGATTCTTCTGAGCTGAGGACCCGTTTTGGGCGAAGCGTCCTCCACGTGTCTCTATTTTTATTCCCCTCTAGTTTCTACTGCACAGACCACAAGACAGCGTTCACTCGCCGAAAGATCTTGCATTCCTTCCCCTGAAGCGCCGTCGAGCTCGAGCCCTGGTGAACCGTCACAGTTCCGCCTTCAACCAAAGAGGAAACCGCGCCATGAGTTGACACGCCTACATCCGTTGTTTCTGCTCCTGACAATCTGACGGGCAAATAGGCTCAAATTGCCCACACAACTAGACAGGCAATACGTAGCGAACAACCAGCAATGGAGTTTCTTGCAAATGCAGGGCCAAGCGGCAGAAGGGCGACCCGACCACCCCGAGGATTCACCAGGTGTGCAGCAAGCGCAGCTGGGACGGGCAGATCAAAAAGTGGCGCCGATTCCTCCACCGGTACGACCCCCCGGTTGACGACGAGGCGGAGTTTGCGGAAGAAGAGTACGTACCGGGTTACCGGGATAATGCCGGCGGGGTTAAGGAGGATGAGACTGGTGCTGAGGGTGCCCCAGAAGAGAGTGCGGAAGAGGAAGAGGCGGAAGAAGTTAAGGCTTCGATTTTCGAGGATGATGAGGATGAGTTCGTCGGGTTGTGAGTTGAGCGGCCGAGTCCATGCGATGCTGTTGAGTTAGACCTGCTTTGTCCAGTCGATCAGACCGTACGAAAGTGCGGCGCGCTCGAAGGGAACTGCTGAGGAAGTAGTCTCGAGTTGCCAAATCATGACCGTCGACAGCACGAACGTTTCTTCCGCTGCTCATGTGAATCGATTTGCGTTGAGCTCATAGCCTGGGCGGCTCACGAAGCCCTCGCAGATCGATCTGCGAGAGTGGTCTCTGCAACAAGTCACAGGGTCAATGGCAACCCCATGCGCGCCACGTTCGAAAAACGTTGGCCGCCGCCCTGTTTGAAGGGGTCTGAAAGAAGATCTCATGTGCGAGCGACTAAGTTCTCAGCAGTCTCACTTGAAAGCATGATGTACAAAGAGTGATCGAGTACGTACGAAATTGAAGCCACGTGCCGGCTTTGATCGAGCTAGGGCGATCGGTGCATTCTGCGAGCCCATGCGTTCATACAAACGCGATTCAATTCTTCAATTGCGGAAGTGAAATCTGATACATACGCGCGCGCTGTAGCTGCTTCATGCTCGTCGGATCATGGTACGTCATGCACATATATGCACGTGCAATCGGTACGCAACATTGCGCTTGCAGCACCCATGCAGACAGCATGGCATGTCAACCCCAGGTCGGACCAATTGCCAAGTTGGAAATCTGCTAGCTGTATGCATTTGCGTCGTGCCGTAGTATGACGGTCATGCATGTGGGATATTGGTACACGTCAATTGTGTGGATATATATGTGTGGTCCCGCGTACGCCTATGCCAGCATCATGGCATGGCGGCACTGCATGAACCCTCGGGGCGCTGATGTCGATGAACAATTAAGGTTTGCTGGCGGCAACGCATATGCAAGCATGATACTCTTCATCGTCCGCATGATATGATTCTGCCGAGTATCAGTCCTGACTCTTTATCAGGTATGCGTCGATTCAGAGTGGTAGTGCAAGCTCGTCATGCATGCTATGCACACAAAACCGGGGCTGCACGCCAATCACTCAGCTGAATCCATACTTCGGACAAATTGAAGAACAAGTAACATCCACCACATTCAGTTAGTTTTGACTCAGTCTTCTCCGTCTTATCCCTGTACCTTCACTGGGCTGATTGTGATCGGCTTGTATTCACTTCCGAGCTTGCCCTTCCACCTTTCTACGCTGGACAGCTTTGGTACACTTCTGTGTGTTCGACCCAATGAGTCGCTGTTTGTACGCTGCCGCGGCCGACCTTGCAGTGACGCGCTATTTCTAAGCGCTATTCTAAATTTTTTGAGATCTCTCCTCATCCGGTTTACACATATTTCCTAGATCTAACTCGGCTGCAGTTAGTTTCCTACAAACCCCAGCTTTATTATTACCTTCTTAACGACACGTCTGTAAGGATAATGTTACACGTTTACCGTCTCGTCAGAGACTCTGCTCCTGGGGAATGGCCAGCAAGTTGCCAGCTGTCGAATATTGCAATCTCTCGAATCAACCACCAAGACCCGACTTGATCTCCTCACGCCCATGACTCCCCGTCATGGGCCAATAGCTCGCTCCCACGTACTAATGGTGTTTTCATTTTGCGCCGCGGGGAGCCATCAAATTTTCACCTATCAATGACTGGAAGCCGCCAAGACCAATGCTGAAAACGGCCTTTGAAACGAAGTGGGGCAGTAACTGTAACCGCCCCGTAACCAACCCTAGTAACCCAGTAAGTAACCCAAGTCAGCAATCAGGACGCAACCAGGGGAGGCCGGTCCGGTTCTCCGTAAGCGCGGCGTCTATCCGACTGTGCGCGCGTGGCCAAAAGGTGGTACGTGGCGGTAAAGTACGTGTGTTCGCCCCGGAGAATGCTCTCGCTCAGGGACTGGGTGTCAATGCGCTTCGAGATGCAGTTGAGGATCGCCGGGTCGAGCGGGGGGCGACACTCGAGCTCGGTGGGAAGGCCGGGGAGTCGCCAGCACGGCACGGACTTGCCGCGGACCCAGGGGTGGTCCGCGACCTGCAGAGGCGAACAGCGCGAGATGACGTCAGCCAGAGGCTCCTTCTGAGGTCGCAAATGGGATGCTTAAGTAAAAGGAAGTGCGGACAGCAACTGTTTCGAAGCTTATCAAAGCGAAGCTTCTAGCGAAGCCAGTTCTCCTTTCAAGAGATTCGTACATCCAATGTTCGTTCGCGCAGAAGAGCTCTCGCTTCATCCCTCGAGCTCGTTTGAGGTGAAACAAAAGGCAAAGCCCAATACCATGAACAAGTGCCCACGAAACCAAAAAGCTTGCTGACCTGCTCGAGCGTCAGCCGCCGGCGCGGGTCGGTCGTCAGCATGCCGCGCAGCAGGTCCTTGCTCTCGTCCGAGATCCAGTCCGGCGTCTTATATACGCCGGCGATGATCTTCTGGCACAGCTCGTCCTTATTGGAGCCGCTCGCGTGGAACGGGAGGTAACCGGTGATCATGGCGAATAAGACGACGCCCAGGCTCCATACGTCGACGGGGGGGCCGTCGTAAAGCTGGCGGGAGACGATCTCGGGGGCGGCGTATGAGGGGGAGCCGCAGTGGACGCGCAGCTTCTTGCCAGGGACCTGGAGGAAAGCGGATGGAAAGGACTTGAACAGACGGTTTGGAAACACATCGACAAAAAGGACCCGCTTAAAGGGAGGATACAGAATCTGCTGAGAACAACTTTTGAGTCAATGGCGGAATCGTCTTGAAAACTCGAGTGGGGCAGTTTCGACAACGAACGGGAACTTGACGTTTGAGGGAAAAACGAGCGCGCGAGCTTCACGGACTTTCTTTGCGAGCTGCGAGACTTTGAAGCAGCACGATTACCAGAAAACGGAGTGTGAACGGATAGAAAAGAGAAAGCACAAAGACAGGAAACGGAGTGCAAAAAGGAGTGGAGAAGAAAACAAGCGGTTCTAAATGTCTCACCAGGATGGCGCTGAGTCCGAAGTCGATGATCTTCATCTGGCGGTCCGCGGTGAGCAGCAGGTTCTCCAGCTTGATGTCGCGGTGGATGACGCCCTGCGCGTGGCAGTACGTCAGCCCCACCAGGATCTGACGTAAGCAGTCACGTGCCTCCGGCTCGGGCAGGCGCTTCTTCTTGCGCACGTGGTCCAGCAGGGTGCCCCCGCTCGCGTGCTCCATGATGACGTGGATGCGCGACGAGGCCTCGCCCACCTCGAGCAGCCGGATGATGTTGCTCTGCTGGGAGGGAAAGCGGGGGGGTGACGTCAGCAATCATAGAGTTGATGAAGTCAGACGGAATCGAAGCTTTTTGAAAGCGAGCGGTCGGAACGAAGTCGTCCAACCAATGGAAGCGGTCGGGTAGATCCACCGGAATGCAAAGGAAAAGAGCACTTCTGGAGCTGAAGATTGACAACAAAACCGAGTTCGCGGTCTTAAAGAAAGTAGCCTTTTTCTGACCTGCTTTGCTTTCAACGGTTGAAACGAATTGCAAACGAAAAGGGGAACGTTGGCAGCTCCGCCAAAGCGGTGCAAGGATTGAGTCGAGGTGTTCCGAGGATGGCACGTGTCCGCACCTGATTGAGCTTCTTGAGGACCTTGATCTCGCGCGCCACTCGCTTCCTGTCGGTGGGATCCGTGAGCCGCGTCTTGTCGATGACCTTGATCGCTACCTTCTCTCCGCTCACGAGGTGAGTGCCCAAACGGACCTGCAGATTGGAGCGACATCAGAGTGAGCTGAAATTGTTGAAAAACTGCAGACTGAAGAAGGGACCTTTCACGAGATCACCCGGGGCTGAAGATTTGAATGCCTTAGCTTAGCTCTTGTTCGAGAGCTAGCAGCTGGAGCTGCTCCAATTCCAAGTGGAACGAGCTGCGGTTCCTTCTCTTTCACGAAGTCATCAGCTGACTTCTCTTGCTCACGTCGATCTAAGTTACGATCACAGCTCCAAAGCTTCTTTGAACTGGACTGTACAAAGCAGCTCCTTTTCCAGCTTGGGTCGACCAATTGCAAAAGAATCACAACAAATGGAGCTTCACTATCTCACCTTGCAGAAGCCACCCTCGCCAATGACCGGCCCGACCGAGTATCCTGGAAGTGCGTTCGGGTTGTTGAGGCTCTCGTGCAGCTGTTGCGCGAGCCCGGGGCGGGGGATCCCTACGGAAGGAGTCGCCCCATTGTTGACGCGTGTCGCCAGGGGGCCATCCCTCTCAGGCGCGCACTCTGGCGCTGACGTGTCAGACGCTGCGCCAGGAACGTGGCCGTCGAACTGGCCAATCATGAAGCCCCTCGAGAGGTTGGGCGAGCAGGGAGTGGTCGCCTGGATGAAGTGACGTGGCAGGTTCGGGGGGCTCTGGACCAACGGAATGCCGGCACGTGTCACGTCCTGGGCGGGGCTGGCGGGGATGATCACCGGGTTGGACCGCAGGGAGAACGGGGTGGCCTTCAGCTCGTCCTGGTGGGCAAAATCGGACGAGGCGCCGCCGAGGACCGTCCGAAACTCGTGCGCGCTTTCTTCTTCGGACGCCGTCGCGGAGCTCAGGCGGCCGAAGCGGTGCGGGGACGACGACGCAATGTAAGAGACGCGGCTAGGGTGGGCGGATCCGAAGCTCATGTGAGCTTGGAAAGCGTCCGTGGTCTGAGCGACTCGGTCATCCTCAAGCGAGTGACTGGCTCGAGGGGGGAGGGCGCTCTCCGTGTGGCGCCGGTGGTAAGGCAACTCGTGAGGCCGTTGGCAGCTGTCGTGAGACCGCTGACAGCTGTCGTTTCGCTGCGGACAGCTGTCAGAGTGCTCGTGGGCGAGGTCGAGGCTGCCAATGGACGACGTTGGTGAACCGGGGTTAAACAACACAGTGGGGGGGGAGGGGGACTGCTTCTCGTGGAAGAACGGCTTGTGATCCCCTCCATCTTTAGCAAAAGTGCGCAGCGCACGCATCGGGAGGGGGGGCTGCCAGTCCCCCCAGGCGGGCTTTGCGAGCGGGTTATCTCCAATGTAGGAGAACACGGTTCTGTTAGCAGGCTGAGAGGGGGGGACGTCAGGGAGACGGGCGGCATCGCGGGGGGGGACTGCGATCCTCAGGCTCTGCACAGCTTCCCGGGCGCTTTGGGGCCGGGGCTTGACGGCTGTCAGCTCCCGATTGGTTTCCTCGTTGCCCTGCGCAGAAAGGACCGCTCTTTCTGCCTTTGAATGCGGCGCCTCGAGTTGGGGTGTTCTTGCCGCCTGCTTTCCCGCGCCGCTCTTACCACTGTAAAACGCCTCCGCAATCTCCTTTGAGCACTGCACCTGCTGCAGCCGCAGCGCCTGCGGGGGGCTATTCTCACCAGCATCCAGCACCTTTGCCGACCGGGGGGTCCTGTGCGCGCTCTTTGCAACGGCGGGGGGAGCACTGGGGGCGTAGTGCGGCTTCAGGGTTCGGGGGATATGGCTTGATGCGAAAATGTTCCCAAGCAACTTTAAGGGGGGGATTGCCTGCTTGCTTTGCAGAGGCTCTACTGCCCCACTGACCGGCCTTCCGCTGGCAACCCTCCCAGACTGTTTCAGACCTTTCTCAATCACGTCCACCTGCCTGAAACCACCAATCTGTGGCCTCTCCTCAATTGTCACCCCCCCTTCCCGGCTCAGCTCCAAACTCGAACTCCTCCTCTGCTTTTCCGGTGAGCCAGAGGCGCTCTCATGATAAGCGGACGGCAACCAGCTGTCCGTTCGTCTTCTCCCCCGCCTTTCCCCATTGCCGGACCTCGCGTCCCCCTTTGAACTTTCAGTGTCTGAAGTGGAAACGAAGGAGCCCCTTGGGCTCTCCCGCTCCTTCTGCGGGCTCCGAGGCGTGTGAAACCGCCCCTGGTAGACTGCAGCAACAGTGGCCGCTGCAGGAAAGAGAGTGTATCAGCAATAATGGATTGTTGTCTGCTTTCGAATCCTGATCAGAGTATTCAGGCTGAATGTAGATGAGTTTCGTGCGTCGCTGTCTGACAGGTGAGAACACTCACAATTCAAATTAGTCTGAGGCTGTCTATTGAACAAACCCCATGAAACCTCGCAAGTTCCTGTTGAATTGAAAGGTAAGGGCTTGGCTTTGAGAGCAGAGTACAACTTCTAATGGACAAACGCTGGACAGCTGTCATGGCGCTCTGCAACAGCTGTCTTTCAAGTATGGCAACAGCTGTCTTCACACTCATCGCCAACTGGCATAACTACAGTACAGGTGTCATCAGCGCAGGTGTACATGAGCAGCAATATCCAGTTCTCACCTTTATCCGAAATGGGAGCCTGTTGACCATGAACAACCGTGTCTGTCTTCCTGCCGCCAGGGGTCCGTCCTGCATTGTGAGGCCTGGCAGTAGCAGGCCTTGCAGTACGAGTGTACCCTGTCGGTGCAAGACTGGTACCTGACAGAAACGTTGTGAACAAGCCTTTGAGTATCCTCTCCTTGCCTTAAATCATGCAAGTCTGAGCGCATAACTGAGTATCCTCAATTCCAGGTTCGTGCAAGTCACTGGTGCATTGCCTTCACCTGCCTTCAATCATGTGGGAGCACAAACTCGCCAGAGAGAAGATGGTAATTCAGCATCAAAGACAATAAGATTGAACAAGGGGGACTGAATAAGTTAGAAAGTTTCTGAATGCATTGAAACTGAAGTGCATCATGGCATAAAGCATCCACCTCCAGAAGGACGACTTAAACTTCTCGTGCGCAACTTCGATTGAGAGCCAAAAACAATCCTCAACGCACCTAGAAACTTGATATCCACTGGTGTGGCTGCATTTGTCCTGCCAATTGGTGCCTTGGCCCTCAGGTGGGACCTGTCAGTCTGGGCCCCTCGCCTATCCCCGTGTGATTCCTCCATCGTGTGTCCCAATCAAAGCATGGAACACATGCAACAGCTACTCCAGAACTCGCTGGGCGGCGGGATAAGATACCGTGTGCAGTGTTGCCTGCATCAAGTCGTCCTCAAAGTTGACCATGATCTCTCGACTCTTAGACAAGCTCGGGACGATCGCCAATGGCACAAGAATGCCGCGACCCTTGAGCTCTGTGGTCAGCATGCGCTTTCAAAGTTTCACATTCCTGGGTAGGGCGCTACTGTCTTCCTGCGCCAATCTCCTGAACGACGTCTGCTCTACGTAGGTTCCAACTTGTTGTCAGAACAGACTGTCAGGCCCGCCAGTTCGTGTCCTCCAGTTCAAAGAGCAGAGGTTACACGGACCTACAGAGAACTGCCAGTGTGGAAGATCTCTGTCAGGCGCCTAGCGGCTGATGTTTGTGGCCGGCCTGCCGCCGGCGCCAAGTTCCACTCCAACTTCCAAGTTGGACTGGCGGAACTGAAATTCAAAATCAGTCCAGTGGCGCGTGCAACTTGTTATAGGATGCACATGGCAAGCTGGCAATAGCCGAAGTTCACTTTGCCACAGATGATTGCCAGTCTGCGCAGTCCGCTCTTGCAAGTGAACATTCTAATTTCTCAGGCATGCCGCGCTTTGTTATGCCAAAGGGTCATGATGACTTGACTCACCAGTTCAGTTGAACTGGTCACCGTTGGGGTCACCGTTGGGCTCACCGTTGCGGGATCCGAAAGCATCCCAACTTCTTTAACAGCTGGCTCCACTTGCTGTGCACTGCATCATCAGCAATGTTGATCTGTCAGCTGTAGACTTGGCGTGCACGGTGCAGCAAGCAGGTACCTAAATGCAGAGCTCTTACAAGTACCCCTAGGTGCGGTAGCTAGGTACCCACTTCCCAGTCCTGCGGTCTACCCTAAGCACTGTACAAGTACCCAAGTACCATTTGCGCAGTTTTCATGCAAGTTAGGTGCCTACTAGGCACCGTGCAGGTAACATTTGCAGCCCAGGCCCGGTCGCTACACAAATCTGTACGGTACTACGGACACCCTGAGTAGAGCCTGCGACGTTCTCGGCCATGGCCCGGGCGATGCCCCAGGTGGACTGGTGAATCGGTGATCACGTGAAAGTGGTCGGGTGACACCACTTGACTGACAGAGTGAGCTGTCTAGACCGTCCTTCACACGAGCCGGGGATCTCTGATTCAAGGCGGTGAAACGCACCCACGGGAAGTCTCCCCGGGAAGCAGGAGCGCTGAAACTGATTCTATGCATACTGACGTGTCACTGAGAAGCGTTCTTATTGGTCGAAGGTCCAAAAAACAGTTTCAACGACTTAGATTCTCCTGTCAAGCGCCGCGTTCTGATTCGCCCGGCGCTTGCCCTCCCTCGTGATTCATTCGTGCGCAACTGCTTCCAATGTTTGCACGCACGTTGAATTCTGGCGCGCACTCCGAAGTCTGCAGGACATTGGTCATACATTTACTCCGATTATCCAGATATAAGATTGCCCGTGTAAAACTCCGTTTATTTCGCCCCTTGTCAGAATTGGTATCTGAACCCATGTGACCTTCCAGAAGTACGGGTCGCCTGTGACCTGTCACAGTAACGCACAGTACCTGGCAGCTGCCAAAAAAAAGGATGAACAATCTGAGGACACCACGCTCATCAGCTGGAGACGTGGGACTCCTATACCTGGCGATTACCTGGCAGCTGCCAGCGTCCTAAGGTACGCGTGCAGGTACCTACCTCGTACCTAGTGTCAAAAGTTTTGCCTTCTAGGTACCGGTACCCTGGTGGCCATGCCGGCACGGTAATATTCCGAATGGTCAAAGTTGACAACTAACCTAATACGGGGGCTACGATGTGATACTGAACTTGGCTTATAGATTGCCGGCGACCAAGGTTGCCGGAAGCGTTGATCTAAGAACCGATCTCATGTACCGGGAAGTTTGAACCAGCTTTTGAAGGTAGTACTGTGGTCGGTTAGCTTGATAGGTCAACCGGGATGGTCGACCGGGTCAACGCGACTTATAACCTTGAAATTCCAAAGTTAGTCCAATTCTACATTCGGCTTGTTGTCCCGAGTATGTGGATGCGGCGACCCATTGTGTGCAATATACGGTGGCAGAGTCGCTATAACAAGCCCCCCCGAGGAGTCGTTTTCGACGGCCTTGTCAATTGGGAGTAGATTCCGTTCGATAAAGTGCTGTACGTGCTAATCCGTCAAAAGATTCTGCCGCACTTGCCCGCGCTCCCGTCACCAAATTCCCCGGTTTCGACGATAAACGGCCATTTATGTAGAAACAGGGCAATATTCTAGGTATGGCGTGTGCTGAGAAGTTCAGTAAATATTCAATTAGATACGACCAATTTCGGCGACTTATGTGACGAATCCGAATCATCCCTGGAGGGCCTTCCGAGCACTCTTTTGCCCCATAAAAACCGCTTTTGGAGTCACCAGTTGCTGGAATCTACCGTTGTGGTCGCCTAGCAGTCACTGGCCAAATTCCTCGCAGCAAGTTTGTCCGTTTGCGCAGCACTGGCACTGGCCGCTCAGCGTTGACAGTGCCAGGCGTCAAGGGAAGCATCATTCAAATTTCACGATATATTAGATCACTTGTCCTTGCATGTGCACTTGCTCCGAACAAATGCACGGTTTGCAAAACATTTGACTTGCAGATCCATGCATTGGTGCAGACGTTTCAACATTCAAACGCGGTTCAAACTTGGAGCCGACCATTCATATCACCACTAGCTTAATAGTGTGTCTCTGATTATACAATACTCTTGAATCGTCGATCCACGACAGTAGTCTCGACATGATGGCAATTGATCTCTTATGCATGTGATTCAAAGGAGCGTGTGACGGACAGGCTAAGATTGGAGTCACACTGACACGGATGGGTGCCTCGAAATCTAAAAACAGAATCATGTTTTAATTCAATGAACCAGAAAAACTTGCGCGCTTTGCATGCCCAACCTACCCTGGAACCACCGAACTAAAACATCATCCTATACCCGCCTTTCCAACACGTCTATTCGTAAGTCACATATAAGAGTTGCTTTTGCGTACCATGACGGACTTCATGTCGATCCAGAAACTTTACCAATTCGCTATACAACAAAGGTCACATGCTATTGCAACTACAATATGGAGGGTTCGATTAAACATGCAGTCCTATTCGTTGACGTGTTTTGTGTCCAAAGTATATGCAAGTAAGACAAATATGAATGACTATTGGTTATTATCATTGCAAATGTCAAAGTTGAAGGGAAGCTTCATGCAAAGGTGTGCCGACTGCGCACGATCCGACTCAGTTGTGAATTCAACAAGCTCGAATGATGAGCAAGAGGGATGACAAAGCTATAGCCTTGCGCATGGCCTCATGTGTTCAATTCACCATCAACTCAGCACAGTTACAATAGGCCACGAACAGTAGACGATAATGCATAGTAAGCTTCCTACGTGGTGACTAAGCTGTACCATATCAACCATATCATTCATAGCAACGATACCCACCCAATCCCTCGTGCGCTCAAGCCTCCGCTCTCTCACCAACTGAGTACCACCAATACTAATGTGGTGGTGCGATGCACGTGCTACTTGTCGTGCCACTTTGAGAACATGATGCAAAGAGACTGTTGATAAACACTTTTTATTATGCGGCCTCTAACAGACACAAGGCCCTGTAGCCTAGTAGAGATGACAAAAGTGCCCAAATGTGGCTGGAACGGCTTCATCAAACGGGTCTTCTTGAGCGCTGCTGATGCAATCCTGGTCCGTACTCGCCGGCATAAGCGGCTCTGATGTGAACCTTACCAAGCCTCTAAGCAAGCACGCATGACTCATGGCGCTATTGTTGCGTGTTTGCGACAAACCCAACCATGCACCGCACGTTTTGGAACAGCTGGTCGAGCTTACCCCAGCTTTCGGATTGGAGCTGCAGAATCAGCGCCGCCTTCGCTTGCAACTGCGGAATGCTGATGATAGCGTCCCCGTGCACCTGCAGAGAATAAAGTGTACCTCTCTTCCAACACTTGTGTACAAAAGCCCACGTCAAATGCAGAAGTGACGCAAGCGGCGCAACTCCGGGTTGCATCATACCAGCTTGCATTAGCATCGACATCAAAATCGACATGCTCATGATTCGGACAAACCAACATCAAAGCTGACGTAAACAGTACGCAGGCGTTCCTTTCCCATAATGACTTCCATGTTGACGCGTGCAACGCAATTCCGATGAAGAAGCGGCATCCGAGCATAATTTACGCAGCTGAAGGGAGCAGATAGAAGATCGGCCAACCAGTCCTTTTGCACTGTCGCAGAGTCGAGGGGCCTGCACCGCCCCGGTGAAAAACATTGAACCAAAGAGAGAAAGAGGCTAGTTAACGGACGCAACAGCGTCTCATGACGTCATGACACGTCCCGTCCGCCTGCCACGTGGCCCACCTTGAGCGCGAGGTTGAGCAGCGCCTGGATGAGCTCGAAGTTGCGCTTGGCCGCCAGCTCGTGCGCGATAAAGTCCAGCAGGGCGCCCACGTCCCTGACGTCATCCTCTTGCTCGCTGACGTCAGCATCTAGGTTCACGATCTCCATGGCGCGCAGCTCCGAGTCGACCGCAGAGGGGGCCATCTCGCGCAACAGCGCGACGAGCGGAGAGTCTGCAGCGAAGCTCACCCGTCAGACACCGCACAATGGTTGTTTGCCATGTACTTGTTAGTCTTTATGAAGTGATAAAAACAGTTGCTCAGCTCTTTCCTATGGTCGACCACAGAGCGACGCCATAAATGAAGGAAACCTGCCCAAAAATCATACACCCGCAGAGGGGATTCCAGCGGACTTCCACTAAAGGTCAAGACCGAGAATCGCCCAAAAGCAGAGCAAACACGCCATCCTTCGTCTCAAACGCCCCGATTGTTCTTAGTAGCCTCTCGGCTTACCACGAGAAGCGCACTGGTAAGCCAACGGACTCCCGTGTCCTACGGTCCAAACTGCCAAATGACCCGAGTTGCCCCCGGAAGTGACACAAACACCGAAACGGAGAGTGTAACGATCGAGAAGCCCGTGGGTCCAGACTGTCATCGGGCAGTACGAACCGGTCAGTCGGACCGATTATAAAGATGGTCACGATCGACATTTTGACATCGTAGCTAGCCTTTTGTTGGCGTAGCACAATGGCTAAGTCGTTAGCCATACGCTACAGTGACATCAGCGTTACAGAGAGAGAGCGCAACTCACAGTCCCCACTCTCCGCTCCTTCGTGCAGCCGCCGTACAAATTCGGACCGGTAGTCGTCGTCCGAGCTGTGCTTGAGCACTCTGGACGGTGCGCGCTTCTTCCCGGTAGACGGTTCCGCCCCCTCCGTTTCTTTTTCGGCAGCGATAAACTGCGGCACCCCCGAGACGCTGGGAAGCGTGGGGAGGAAGAAGGGCGCTTTCTCCGGCTTCTTCGGGGGCTCGATCGGCTTGTTCCTCTCCTGAACAAAGAAGGGTTCGTCGTAAGTCTCCCTGCTCCTGTCACTGTGATGCTTCATGATGAAGATTTCTGACGCGAATCTTGTGGTCCAAAGGGTTTTGCGGTTATATTGAGGAATAGTAAACCCCGGAAACCTCGATGTTGAAGAAGTTCTGGGATTGGGTACGAACCATAATTCGTGCTTCGAACCATTGTCCACGGGCGACACAGCTGTGCAATGCTGATCTATCACGTCAGCCAATGACGCTGAATTCGACAGCAAATGCGCTTTTAAAACTGAAAAGGTTCTCAACAAAGACAACAGGACAGCAAAATGGATAACCAACGAAGACTGCAGCAATAAAGAACGGAAACAACTGACGTCATCGCACTTGCCTTGATGACGTCAAGGTTCACGAGGCCCTGCCACTGGGCTCGCGGGAGCATTGCCAGGGTTATTAGCTCCGGGGTCAGCTGCTGAACAGGGCCCCGCCCGCTCGTCTCGCCGGGCAGGTCGCGCCTTTCACCTGCGGGGACCGGAGGATCGGTGTCAACGAATCCGCTCTGAAAAAGAGTCCAGCAATTTTAACAGTCTTTTCTGGGGCAAACCACCAAGCTAGTGACGCATACGCCCCGGCAAGTGGCGCCGTTCACCTGCGAAATTGGGACTAGTGACAGCGTAATTACTCGACAGGCAGTCTGACGACTTCAACAGTCTTTCTTCCGGTAAACCTTTCAGGCGAACGATGCCTGGGCAAACAACCACTGCCAATAAGATGCAAACTACAAAACAACAAAAGAGTAGGAATCTGCATCGTCTTGCAGAGAATTAGTATTGCGGATCGTCCCCAGTCTGATCCATGACATATAAAAAGACCGAATGCATACTTCCGGGCAAAGACGATGCACACGCTGCGGCTGTGAAACCCTTACCTTCGTTGGTGATGTGCGGGGCATCTTGAAATAAGGTAGGAGGCTGCTGTCTATCCGAGGGGCCGGCCCCTGCCGTTCCGTCCCGTTCTTCCCGACCTGTTCCGTTCTGGTCCGGCTCTTCCGAAGGGTCCGCTGACACGAGCGGAAGGCGGACTTGACGGGGCTCGGAGCTGCTGAGCGCCTGGCCCTCGGTGGTGCCCAGGTACAATAAGCGATTGGCCCTGCGGATGGGTTATGAGCAGGCTCCATAAGCAACTGGGCGTTGGAGAAAAAGCATGAGATACGAGATTGATTCTTGAGAAAGTGAAACCTACGGAAGACAAGTGCAGAAGGCAAAGATGATCTCACTGGAGTTTGTCACAGAAACTTTATGGGCAGTAACGCTTTACCAATCGGAAGCGTCGTCCTAGCGTTTGACGCAGTCACGTAACTTCTCTCCCTTACCACACCAAGACACCAAGGACGTCGCGCCTCGCAACCGATTCCTCGTAGATCGCCACGTGGCGCCCTGTCAGCGCTTCATTTCGCACATGGACAGACGTATCCAGATCTGCAACGTGGCGCTGTCACCGGTCCGTTTGCGGATTGGCAACTCACCAGAGGTAGATTCCGTTCCGGTTTGCGTGAGTGGTGGCTAGCATGTCCATGCCAGGACTGAGCGACAGCGCGGTAATTGGGACGTCCAGTTTCATTGCATCCAACAGTTGCGCCGCGACCACGTCCCATACCCGGAGAGTGGCGTCCATTCCTGCGGACAGCAGCCACCTACGGAGAACGGAGCCCTTGAGCGTCGGAAATGGTGGCCTGAGCATTTGGAGATCGCCCTCAACCGGTGTGCTTGTCCCAAAAACCAAGACCGACTACCGCTCATCAAATTCCTTAAAGATCTGTTGGCGTAAGTCTCTGCCTTCTCCCTAACGAAGATGCGCCCATCGATAACCTGTTTTAACAACAGCTTCAAGGAAGACCGCCTGCCGTCACCCGTTCTGCTGACGTCACACGTTCTAGTGACGTCACCCGTTCTGCAGACGTGACCTCACCTGCCGTCCTCGCTGAAGCACATCCCCGTGATGCGATCCGCGTGGCCCGGAAACTTGCGCACCAGCCGGTGCGCCGCGGCGTCGTACACCCGGATCGTGAGGTCATCGGAGGCGGCGGCGATCAGGCCGTTCCCCCGGTGAAACGTTATTTGCACCAGGGGGGAGCCCACAGGCCATGACGCAATCAGTTTTCGCGTCTTGAAGTTCCACACCTGGAGGGGAGTGGGTGGAGGGGGTTGACAAGCAGTTTCCCCAGGTGAAAGGTCATTCGCAGTAGGGGGAAAATAATCAGCTTCCGCATCATGTCAA